AGGCGCCCTGCAAAAACTGTGTGCGAGAGAGGGCGAAGTTGGGGAAGATTTGCAGCCAAAGCAAGCTCAGCTGCTGCGGGCTGCCGCGTCTAGCGGCACCCATGTTTTCTGCAGATGGCATACAACGTGAAGAGCTGCTCTGACTCTATTCGTGGAAATCTTTCAAAGGGTCGCCTTGGGTGCTCAGGCTCGCATTATCAGAGTATACCTGGCCTTGTCAAGACTGTCAAGAAGCTTCCTTCGGCGTGTGCTCGCTGCGCGGGTCACCCTCGCAGCACAAAGGTGCAAGCTTGTCTTCTGGAATCCTTGCGGCGCTCCCCCAAGCTCGTGCAGTCGTGAGAGAAGAGCTGCAGCCGCGGTGCACTTGGTGGTGCCGCGCCGCCCGGTCCTCATAGTCATGAGAAGGAATGAAGGCGAGGCGGGGCACTTTGGTGTTGATGTGAACGGAAGTCCGACAGGTGCATGAAAATCTGAAGCCGCGCGTAAGTTCACGTAAGCCTCTGGCCCCGATCTTTGGCCATCGCGGAGCAGTTCTAGACAGTGAAGCCAGCGAGCCCCAACAGAATCACGGGGATACGACCATGCAAAAGGGTTGCAGTGATTTCGACGTCGAACACCAACTTCTTACAGATCTAGAAAAACTTGGAGCAAATCTCGCTTGCAATCCGCTGGACGTCTACCTCGTACTATCTCGTACTCATACTTCCTAGGCTGGTCCGCCTCTGGCGCTCCAGAAGTCACACGCGGCCAATTCGTGCGACGGCACCCTTGAGCCTACCACCCGCGGTGGTTCGAGTACTACTATCCTACCCGGCAACGCACTCTCACGATGACGGCGCCGCGGCATTCGAACCTCCTCCGGAGGGGCGCGGAGGCTCGCGTGCGTTCCGACTCGCGTCGAACGGGCTGATTCTGCAGCTGCAAACACATCGCCCATGACGGCTCGAACTGCGGCTGCACAAAGTGGCAGCCCCATTCACAAATGGCCGAGACGTCACCATGCTAGAGCCTTCAGCGCGTGCTCAGCAACAGTGTTCTTGACGAAGCACTGCAAAAGGTCGAACTTGTAGCGAATACCGTTGGCGCAAGCCCACCACGAAAGGGAACCCGGGTGCCACTATGTGGCTGTGTGCCGCTTCAGCTGCGAAGCCGGGTTCGGGGCCGACGGGCATCACACCACCGGGAATGCAATCGTATCTGGCACTACGTGGCCCTGCAGCAGCACCAAGTACAACGGGAAGTGGGCGACCCTAGACCCTGCGAGGAAACAGTCGACCCAACAACGAAGTGTGCCCGCAACGAAGAACTCTTGCGCGCTACACACAACTTGCCTGACCTGCGATCTTGCCGAACACGACCTTGCGTGAACTAGCTCAGGCGTCGCGAAAACAGATGCGGGCGGCGGCATCCTCTAGGTAAGTCGGCGGACACGCCTTCTGCCGGCAACCCGGGCGTCCAGAATTGCCAAACAGTAACCACCACCTAGCTCAGTGACAGGAATACACCAAAAAACAAACATGTTGCTCGAGTACTATTTGTGACTGCGTGCAAGCAACTCTGCGGGATACTCTGTGGGATTCCCTGGAAATTTTGTGGGTGGGCACTCAACGGATACTCTGCTGTATTCTTTGGGAGTGGGTATGCGATTTTGTGGAAACTGGAAATGATTTGAGCAACAGGTGCGAGATTCTCTGCAGGATTCCCTTGAGGAGGCTCTGGGAGTGGGAGACCCGGGCTAGGAGACCTGAGAATAGCATCCAACATCGAGAGCGCATATCAACAAAAGGCCCCCTTAAAGCAAGTCGCAGCCAGAAGCCTTGCACCTGAGAACCTTTGCCAGACCGCAAAGGCCTGCACCTTTTCATCTCTTCCTCCTCTTCTTGTGTCCCCGGTCCGACTCAGGACGATGGCCACTCGCTGACGAACTGTATGAATCCTCCATCACACGCGTCGGTGCTTGAGCAGGGGTCTCTCAAGTAAATACTTACAATTGCAGTAGCGCCTTCGAGAGGTTTCCGCGGCTGCTGCGCCTCCTAGGACACCTCAACTATTTCGAGTGGGAAAGCCAATAAAAGCAAGCATGGGCGAACCATGGTAAACCCAAGTCGTTGAAAAGCCCGAACACCGCAACTTCCTTAGAGTCCCTTGAGCCTTCAGCTTCCTGGATTTTGCAGAATGGTCAGGTACTATGGTTAGTCTCCACTCGTCTATGTTCAACATCAGATGAGGAGCTCATAAGTGGAGTATTCCACCTTGTCAGACGACCACGCAGTTCACTGAGCCCCGGTCTCTTCCGAAAGCGCGCCAGAGAACTTTGCCGGCATCCTGGTTGCAGAGAATGCAAACTGACAATGACAAGCAATGACAAGCAATTCTGTGCAGGCTCGAACCAGGCATGCCAGCCTTTTAGCCCTGTGGACCTTTTGCGTGCCTGGCCTTGAACCCCAAGGCCGAGCACGCCGTGAGGAACTGGGTGCGGGAGACCGTCACCTTGTGGTGCTATGTCTCCGGGATCGCGCATGCCGCATTACACCCTCAGCCCCTTGGACAAGCTTCAATTCTGTCCCATGCAAGCGGCCGAGTCATTCGGGCTCAGCACTAATCGCCAGGCTCGCAAATAGCTCCCATAAGTACGTCGGAGGTGCCTTGGCTGAGAGGGCATGAAGGTTGTATTTGGTGTTGCCCTAAAAATCAGACATCGGGTGTGTCTGTGTTTGTGCCGGATTTGCGGAGCTCGGCACTTCTTGAAGTCGGACAGGGTCTCCAGGACTTGCTTCGGGTCCCAAGTTTGCTTTTTAGCTGTTGGGGTCAGACGCTCTTGCATGGGCACAGCCGGTGTCTGAATCTGAGGGCCAGGCGCTCTGTCATGGCACGCTGCCTAGCTGTGCGCTTGATCTTTGCTCGCCTGGGCCGGATCCAAGCACAAGCTTCTGTCACAGCGAGAGGCAGCTGGGTCCACTTGCCGACCACACAGACTGCGTGTTCTATCATATCTGGCATACTGAATGTAAAATGTAGACATCGGCAGACATGCTTGGGTCATCTTCTTTCCAAGATTGCTTCTACCTATACTTATTATTGACCACTTCTCAGCACTCGAATTGAGATTCGATGCCAATCTTCTGGGCGCAACATCTAACCTCATACTTCCCAGGTCTGTGCAGCACGGGAGTGCCTTTCAACGCCAGCAAACTCACACTTGCAGACCATCTGACAGGTTGAACCATGTGTTGCAATGTCTTCAGCATCTTTTGTTGCGGCGATGTACAAAACTGTTGCAAACACTACTCCTCCGGTTGTCGGTGCGCTTGTCGGAACAGGCTCCATCCTAGCAGAAACCAACCTCGAATTGACCTGCCGGCAAAGCCGCACGAACTGGAACCTTGACCGAAAACGATGGTCAGAATTGTCTACAAAGCTGCATGTCAGCTGGTGTGGTCTGGGAATTCACGTCTATGTCTACTCGCCTTCCGCCTCCCAGGCATTCGGGCACAATGCAAGTCTGCACAGTCAGCACGCCCTGTACAGCCACAGGGCTCATTGACGCACTTGGACATATATGTTCCACTCTGGAACTGCCACAGAAACGAGGTGGGCTGTGTCAGCGTCTGGCGGACCGTTTCTGACTAAACGCGATCTCAGATCTCCATACAAAACACGCACAGGGCATCTGTCCGCGGTTTGCTTTTCAACACAGTCGTTTGAACGGCTGCCAGGCGCTTGCACCTACCTAAAGCAAAAGCGAGTTGCTGCAGCAGCCTCGGCACTAAATGAACCTGGCCGTTCCTGCTGCAGCTTCCAAAAAGTGACAAATTGCGCCACTTTTGCAGGCGCGCCATACAAGGCTCCATTCAGCCAAGCTTGTCCCACAGGTTACCGGTTACCGGTCACTGGTTTCCAGCTTGCACAGCTTGCAGAAGCTTCTCAAAGCTTCGCAAACGGGCCAGGGGCAGAACCCTTCTTGCGGAACTCGGCCAGGACCACATCAATCAGCGTCTGGCCAGGGAACACCTGAAGCTCAGAAGTTCACGCCAAGATGCCACGAACTTATGTATAAGAACTCTGTGAGCCACTACTGTGGACGACTTTTGCACTTTGCCTTTTTTTGTGTGAGACCCTGGCCCAGCCTTGGTCCCTTCCTTGGCTGCGCATGCCTCCAAAAGCTTGGACGGCTCAAAGTAGTCGATCGGCAGGTAGTTGGAGTTCTTGGTGAAGCGCTCCTCAGTCCCCATCAGTCATTGCAAGGTACTGCTCTGATCCTCAGAAAGGGCCTTCATCTAGGCTTTCATAATGCCCCCCTAGGTCGCGTTTTCTTGGCCCACCGAGCACACAGGCGGGGGCATCGCGCGCACGCACACACACACACACACACACACACACACACACACACACACACACACACACACACACACACACGATGAAACGCGGGGAGGACAACTAATTGGAAAAGGTGCTATCAAAGTCAATAACGCGCGGGAGCAGGTCGACAGCGACGGCAACACAGCTCATGACGGTTTGCGGTGGTCATGGCGATCTTTCTGGCAGAAGTCTCCCGCAGAAGTCTCCCGCTTTCGCCCACGAGAACTGGTTCAAAGGCTCGATCCACAAAAAACACTACTGACTCCGCTTGTATGTCCGTCCGTGCCGGCTCGGCCGCAACATGCAGGTCAGACCGTGGATCATGTGGGTACACTGGCTTATGTTGGCGATGGCTACACTAGCGGCCACACATTCAGTCCGACTGTCGTTTCCAATTCTGCAGAGTTGCCGGATGTTGCCGTAGCTCCGAAAGAGTTTTGACGGCATGTCACGTTGATGCAAAGTTGCATAGTGGGTGGGCGAACCAGTTCTGCGATTAAACGTGTTGAAGGACTGAAGAACGTCATCTGAGAATCTGTAATGTAGGGCGCACACTGTGTTAAACTTGATGCTGCAACAAAAGACCCAACATGACCCAAGGTGTCCATGCCTACACCCCAGCGACTTTCTGCGCTCCCCACCTTGGCCTGCTGGTTGTAGTACTTCACGCGCTCCAGGATCTTCTTGAAGCCAGCGTAGTTCTCGGCGTAGAACATGGGGCCACCCTGTCAAGACAGGACCATGCGTGCACACGCGTGCGCCCGAGCGCGCATGATTGCACAGCCGAAACTCGACCTTCCGACCGGGTGTGAAGAACTGAGAGGAATCGGAGCGAGGATGAGCGACATCGGCGGATGCATGCGGATGCAATTGCCTGCCTTGGCAGGGGGGAAGCCATATCCGTAGATGTAGGCCAGGTCGATGTCGGAGGACCGAGCCACGTATCCTTCCTAGCGGACGCGACTATCCACACCAGGCCCAGTGGCTGCAGAAACTGGAAAAATGATGACCAACAAATCTCACTCCCAGCACGGGCCCATGGCATATACTTCGGCACGTCCTCGAGGATCTTGAAGCCCTCATTGATCATCGAGAAGAAGAGCCTCTCGCAAATCTCCTCTCGTGCCGTAGCGATGGTGAGACATCAGGATGCCCAAGGCCCTAAGAAGTGGATAGGACCATAGGACCATAGGACCATAGGAACAGTGGAGACGGGGAGACAGAACCGCACATTGAACGGGCTCGAAAGGGCTTCAGCAGCGGGAAAGGTGCAGGGTCTCCTCGTCGGAAACGGCCCGGGGCGTCATGCCCTTCATCTTGCGAACCTCATCCAGCTTGGCGATGACCTCGGGATCCACCTGAGGTCTCCAGGTCTCTCGGCTTCGCGAGATTTCAAGGTGATTTCTCAGGAGGGCAGTAGGCTCTTTTCAGACGCTACCGGGCACTGGTGCCCCGGTGCCCTGGGAAGCACGCAGCTGTGCTGACCGTCACGCGCCTCCTTGCTGCGGCCACGGTGGATGAAGACGCCACGGCCGTTGGCCTGGCGAGGATGTGGGTGGCGAGCCTTCACCTCCCCGCCCCAACATGCCCCAAACATGCCCCAAACATGCCCATCCGTCCCCTCGCTGCCTTGATCTTCGGGTCAGGCGTCTTCAGGCCAAATCGGCCCTGCTCACACAGCCAGTCCTTTTGTCAGAGGAAGCTGCGCGGCGGAGAAACTTCATCGACGCAGGAACGTATGAATGTTCCAGCCGACTCGTGCCCTGAACTTCGGAATGCCTTCCCGATGTGAACTCCTGTACGTACGTTCTCAAGGTTTCCCCGGTTACGTTATCACGAAAAAGGCGGCGATGCAGGCTCCCAATGCAAGTCAAGCCATTCCCAGTCCGTCAGCTCATAGGGGCCATAGTACGTCTTGGTCTGCTTCTTCATGTCGCCGGCCGCCTGGCTGTGCAGATGTGTAACGACTGCAAGTCTGAAGAGCTCACGCGCACGTGCCGCGTCGCATTGCTGCGTCGTGTTCCTGCGTGTAGCTTGCACGCGAGCACGCCCAACATGAACAGATCGGCCGTCACTTCCGAGTGCGCGGCCCAAGCCACACAAGCCTGGCCTTGCGCTGCTTCCAGAAAAGCTCCAGGCCCACCAAATCGCCCAATGCCATGGGACCCATGGCCATGCCTCGAGAAATCTCCAATTTCCGGCGCTCCAGAGTACTCGAACTGACAACGCAGCAGAGCTGCTTTAACGTTTGTGACTGCATCCACGAGCTGCTACGCTGCTACATGCTGCCACGCTTCCAAACTTCCGAGCAGCGTTATCCACCTGCTCAATGTTGGCACCTCGCAATGTAGACTGCGTCATAGCAGCGACAAGAACTTGCAGACTTTTACCATCATATTGGTAAGCCCCTCCGCACCAACATCGCATTACGACTCAAGCATGCGCGACCCTGCCTTCCTCCAGAACCATCTTCGCCTCCCCGGCATATGGCGCAAGCATTCGGTTGCCCACGAAGCCATCGCAGTTGCCTACCATGATGGCTTTCTTGCTGATCAGTTTGCCCATGGCCTGGCAATCAGATACCAGGCACACCGTCACACCCGGTGACACTAGTTTCAACAAAGGAATCTGCTATGCAGATCTAGACCTTGCAAGAAGGAAGGATGTGTGTGTGCCAAACAGCCAAGCTGCCATTCCGGTGGCCAACGTTTTGGTGCTGGACTTGGCCGTTCGGACGTTCTCCAGCAGCTGCATCACGTTGGCTGGGGAGAAGAAGTGGGTGCCCATGACACGGCTAGGGTCCTTCAGCACGGCCGCGATGTCATCAATGTTCAGGCCACTGGTGTTAGTGCAGATGAGGGCATCTGGCTTGGTGTTCTTCTCGATGTCGAGGAACACCTCCTTCTTGAGGTCCATGATTTCAGGGACTGCCTCAATGACCATGTCCACATCCTTGAAGTCAGCATAGTCTAATGTCGGCTTCAGGAGGCTCATGTACTGCTTGTACTTGTCCTGGCTCAAGCGGCCCCTTTTCGCCTGGCCACCCCAGAGACCCTCAATCTTCTTCATGCCATCCTCCAGCCACTCCTTCTTCGCATCCTTGAGGACCACTGGGATCCCTTTCTGCACGAAGCACATGGCGATGCCGCCTCCCATGAGTCCTGCACCTAGGATGCCGATCTTCTTCAGCGGTGCCGGCTTCTCGTTCACTCCAGGCACCTTCTGCGCCATTCGCTCGGCCAAGAAGAGGTGTCTCAAAGCAGCTGACTGCACAGAGAAGACCTGACTGCATTGGTCAACCAATGTTGGCTCTAGTGTGCTCTAGTGACTCTAGTGACATCACTGCCTAGCTGGGCCTAGCTAAACATTTCTTTCGTCGCTTCGTCTTCGAGTCCTGTTCGACCGTGTGGCCAAGGCACCAGCTTCGTGAACTCCTCCATCTCGACTGCCACGCCCTCCTTGAAACTCTTTCCTGAACAGGCAGCCTCGAAGCAGTTGATGATGCCAGCCGGTGCCACCATCAAAGGCTGTGCATTGAAGGCCATGTTCAGAGCTGCATGGAGGCCTGGAAAGATGAAGCAACGGCCAGAACGGCAACCGCAGAGTCCATCATGATCCATCATGCTTGCCCCTTGCACACCCCTTGTGCGCGCTTGCGTGCCTCCAGCCGCGACCATCAGGCGATTGGTCTTGGGCACATCGCGCTTGGAGATGGGCGCCGGCGGGTGCGACAGGGCGAACCCGGCGGCCTCCTCCACAACCTCGGCTGTGCACCCATGCTGCCGATGCTCTGATGAACGAATGCGCGCAGCATGGCGCACTGCGGTGCAACGTGGTTTTCGGATGGTTCTGACAGGAACGGACATGTGCCGACGGCGGCCGCTTGGATCCTCATTTCATGCCGACAAACTGCATCCGTGCATCCTAGTGGCGCGGGATAAGGGGGCGGGCTGGCGGGCTGCTCACAGAAACTGCTGGTCAGCTTGGCTACGTAGTTCCACTTGCACATGGTCACTTGCAAGGTGCTTACTATAGCCATGGCGGGCAGCAGCTTCTGACTTGGAGCCTAATTCTAGCTTTTGCTCCGTCCCGCAGCGTTCACAAGACATGTTTAGGAAAAGCACGGCAAGTAGCGTCTCCCTTTGCAACCAAATCGATGATGCCGTTCTTCTTCGCAGCTTCGGCCTCAGAGCTCGCCCGTGCCACGGGTCATCTATCTCTCTTTCCTCTCTGTCCTCCTGCTGTCCGCTTGCGCTTCCGTGCGCTTCCTTGGGCTTCCTTGGGCTTCCTTGGGCTTCCTTGGGCTTCCACGTTCATGGGCCGGCCCTGCAAGATCATTGGAAGCGCCACGGGGAGGGCGGCAACGCGAGGAAGCCGCTGCGTGCCCTGCGCGCCCGGGAGCAAGCCCAGGTTCACCTGGCAGCAACACACGCACGAAGACACACGCACACCTGTGGCACGATGCCACAGGAAACGAACTGGCCTCCGGGAAGCCGACCGAGGCTTTTGGCGTGGCCACGCGGTAGTGGCAGGCCAGGCTGACCTGCAAGATTCACAGACTTCACAGCTTAAGCCCTTGAAGCCCTCTCTTAGAAGTCTTGGTGCGCTCAGGACCCTGTGCAGGTCTCAAGCCTCGCAGCCACCGCCCAAGGCGGGACCATTCAGAGCTGCTACCACCGTCTTGGGCGAGGCATCAATGGTGTCCTTTTAAATTTTCTGTTCGCTGTAGGAAAACCTAAATACTGGGCTCGCCTGGCCGAGCAAATCACCGAACAGGTACATCATGGTACATCCCACGAACTTACCGCGGGTCCATCATCTCGCTCAGTGCTGCCACGGGGTTGTTCTTCCTTCAGCAGAACTTCAGCACTCAAGAGGGTCACTCCAACATCTCCCTGGCTCAAAGCTCTCAGCACAAGGTCCTCATCTCTGCCTCGCCCATGGCAACCATGATGGCAAACCTGGTCGCTACAGGTTTACACCCAAAAGCTCGTGATGGGAGCCATGCCTGAGCTAGCAATGGTCAAACTCCATCCAGATTACGGCATGCCACGTGCTGTTCTCCCAACGCTTTGCATGGCGACCTCGCGCCTCTAGCTAAACTTATTCAGAAGGCCTCCGGCACCCACCCAAGACCTAGCTACCTGTTTCCCCCTCCCTGCTTGCAGCTTTCAGCAACTCCGTGATCTCAGCACCTGGGCTTTTGACCATGGTTTGGTCGGGTTCGCATCCAATCTAGTTCAGTCTGGTACACATGTCCCGATACATGGCAGGCCAAGCGTCCACCGGAGAACATCGAGCCGCTTCCCGTCACCACAATGGCTTTGACCTGCAGAATGCACACAGAGCAGCCTACAGAAGCCCAGAGCAGACTGATGGACACATGCAGCGGTTTCATTCGGCTTGAAGAGAAAGAGGATTCACTTCGTAGTTTCGGCTTTGCCAAAGCCCAGCTGAGCCTTCGGATCTTGGACGAGTTTCGGGAACTCCTGCCTAAGCTGCCGAGAGGAGGAATCCGCATCGAGGAGAAAGTCCCGCATCATTGAGCTCGCAGACACTCGGCCGCCCAGCCGGAATCCCCCAACTCCACTGACCCATCCCTACTGGCAAGGCAAAGCGCTTGAAGGATGTCACCAAGCTCGTGCCAAGTGAGTTCACCGGCGGGCTGTTCATGGTGATGACGCCAACCCCATCCTTATCGTCCATACATCATGAGAGCACGTCATGTTAGTTAAAGGCAAGGCATGCACTGCAAATGGAGATTCCAAAACCCCCAATTCACTGCCGGGTTTGGCCGAGTGTCAGGACGGACGGTAATGGAGGCCGACATGGTGGGTCTCGCCAAGCTAGGACTGAAGGAGCGCAAGTACGTTTTTGTTCTCTCGCTGGAGCCCAAGCCGCGGCGCGATTCACACCCTACTGGCGGACGATGTTGCGTAGGATCACATTTCTCGCCAGGACATTTGCCCGGCCACTGACCGGCCAAATGGTCCAGTGAGCAAAAGCCATATGTTGTAGTAACTTTACGTGGTATTCTGTGCTCTTTGTTCAGATTCTGATAGACAGATAACTAAACAGACAGACTATTCAGCACTACACAGTTAAGGCATCGACTTCTGCTGCACGTCCAACCACTTCAAATCTGCGGACTCGATGAATCCATCACCTGCGGTCTGACTTGCTCGAACGGGGGGGGGGGGAAGACGGGCGGATACCGTGCGAGCGAAAGCGTCTGGCACAGGCTTGCATCTTGCATTGCGCACGGTGCGGCTTGTAGTAGTAGAAGTACCGACATTCTCCGACTCTGAATACACTGGGCGACTGGGGACGCATCGTGACCCGTGACCTCCAAGGTCGATCGCATCAAACAGGATGAGCTCGGAACCGCCTCATCGCGATGTCTGCATAACGTACAGAGAAAGGTACGGAGCCATGGCTGATCCTTACAAGTCTAGTGCCACCACCTGCCTGTCCATCCAAATCGGATGAGACCCTCCTCGAAATGCTTTGCATCCAGCTTCCGCTCCGCTGCACCATTCATCAGCTTCCTCAGCCCGCATCGGCCATCGCGGCACTCTTGAAACAACGAACAAAAATCTCCCCGAGGATGCACACATATGCACACCCTGACGAGGCACTGGATCATGTCAACTGATCCAGCGAACATCTCGGCGCAGAAGTCCACAAAGGCAGCCTTTGAATGGAACGCAGCTGAAAACAGCCAGCTGAACTTGGGGCAACGTGCTTCTCCGCACAAGCGTGGGCATGTGTGGGCAGCAAGCATCCAACAAAAACCTAGCTGCCCAAAGGTCGTTCTGCTCTTTGTGTACTTCTTCCAACGTGAGCTCGCCTGCAGGTTGCAGGATTGGCGTCCACAAGCGACTATGACTAGGCTGACTAGGCCCTCAGGCGGCAGACACAAAGCATGAGGCCTGAGCCATCGTCGTCCAAGAAGCGGAAGACCAAGTATGGGTCCCCTCTCCAAAGGCTGAAATGAGGGGTGGAGGTCTGGAAGGAACATGTGCGGCAGCACAAGTCGTCGTGCAGCTTCCGGCAGTGCAACTCGAGGGCTGCGAGGCTGGTGGGGCACCCGGCACAAAACAACAACCCAAACCTGCATTACCCTCTGCCCACCTTCGACCTGCGCATGATGCGTACCACTTCGCGAAAGCATTCGAAACCGAAAGACGAGCTGTTGCCTAAGAATTTGACCTGCCGGCAAAGCCGCACGAACTGGAACCTTGACCGAAAACGATGGTCAGAATTGTCTACAAAGCTGCATGTCAGCTGGTGTGGTCTGGGAATTCACGTCTATGTCTACTCGCCTTCCGCCTCCCAGGCATTCGGGCACAATGCAAGTCTGCACAGTCAGCACGCCCTGTACAGCCACAGGGCTCATTGACGCACTTGGACATATATGTTCCACTCTGGAACTGCCACAGAAACGAGGTGGGCTGTGTCAGCGTCTGGCGGACCGTTTCTGACTAAACACGACATCTGTCCGCGGCTTGCTTTTCAACACAGTCGTTTGAACGTCTGCCAGGCGCTTGCACCTACCACAAGCAAAAGCGAGTTGCTGCAGCAGCTTCGGCACTAAATGAACCTGGCCGTTCCTGCTGCAGCTCCAAAAACGTGACAAATCGCGCCACTTTGGCGCCATACAAGGCTCCATTCAGCCAAGCTTGTCCCACAGGTTACCGGTTACCGGTCACTGGTTTCCAGCTTGCACAGCTTGCAGAAGCTTCTCAAAGCTTCGCAAACGGGCCAGGGGCAGAACCCTTCTTGCGGAACTCGGCCAGGACCACATCAATCAGCGTCTGGCCAGGGAACACCTGAAGCTCAGAAGTTCACGCCAAGATGGAAAGAACTTATGTAAGAACTCTGCGAGCCACTCCTGTGGACCACTTTGCACTTTGCCGTTTTTTTGCGTGAGACCCTGGCCCAGCCTTGGTCCCTTCCTTGGCTGCGCATGCCTCCAAAAGCTTGGACGGCTCAAAGTAGTCGATCGGCAAGTAGTTGGAGTTCTTGGTGAAGCGCTCCTCAGCCCCCATCAGTCATTGCAAGGTACTGCTCTGATCCTGAGAAAGGGCCTTCATCTAGGCTTTCATATGCCCCCCTAGGTCGCGTTTTCAAGCCCCACCGAGCACACACGCGGGTGCATCGCGCGCACACACACTTCGGGATCTCCCTACACATGTAGGGGAAGGCAGAAATATCGTCAATGGTGGAGCTGCTAGCTGCTATGCTAAGCCCAAGCACACTCCCAGTTTTATGAGCTGCCAGCTGCTTTGCCAAGCCCAAGCACGCTCGAATTTGCAGGTACGTTTTCAGCACCACACTGTTAGGCTCTTCGTTGGCCGCCCCCTAACAGTGGGTGGAGCGGCCCCCTGCGTACATCTTAAATGAATTCAAAACGACTGATGTGATTTGCTCCGACCCTTGGTCCAACAGGGTTTTGTGCACACACACACAATGAAACGCGGGGAGGACAACTAATTGGCCAGGTGCTATCAAAGTCAATACCGCGCGGGAGCAGGTTGACAGCAACGGCAACACAGCTCATCATGGTTTGCGGTTGTCGGCAATCTTTCTGGCAGAAGTCTCCCGCTTTCGCCCACGAGAACTGGTTCAAAGGCTCGATCCCCGTGGATCATGTGGGTAGACTGGCTCACATTGGCGATGGCTACACTAGCGGCTACACATTCAGTCCGGTTTCCCATTCTGCATAGTTGTCAGATGTTGCCGTAGCTCCGAAAGAGTTTTGATAGCATGTCACGTTGATGCAAAGTTGCATAGTGGGTGGGCGAACCAGTTCTGCGATTAAACGTGTTGAAGGACTGAAGAACGTCATCCGAGAATCTGTAATGTAGGGCGCACACTGTGTTAAACTTGACGCTGCAACAAAAGACCCAACATGACCCAAGGTGTCCATGCCTACACCCCAGCGACTTTCTGCGCTCCCCACCTTGGCCTGCTGGTTGTAGTACTTCACGCGCCTCAGGATCTTCTTGAAGCCAGCGTAGTTCTCGGCGTAGAACATGGGGCCACCCTGTCAAGACAGGACCATGCGTGCACACGTGTGCGCCCGAGCGCGCATGATTGCACAGCCGAAACTCGACCTTCCGACAGGGTGTGAAGAACTGAGAGGAATCGGAGCGAGGATGAGCGACATCGGCGGATGCGGATGCAATTGCCTGCCTTGGCAGGGGGGAAGCCATATCCGTAGATGTAGGCCAGGTCGATGTCTGAGGACCGAGCCACGTATCCTTCCTAGCGGGCGCGACTATCCACACCAGGCCCAGTGGCTGCAGAAACTGGAAAAATGATGACCAACAAATCTCACTCCCAGCACGGGCCCATGGCATATACTTCGGCACGTCCTCGAGGATCTTGAAGCCCTCATTGATCATCGAGAAGAAGAGCCTCTCGCAAATCTCCTCTCGTGCCGTAGCGATGGTGAGACCCAAAGCCCTAAGAAGTGGATAGGACCATAGGACCATAGGACCATAGGAACAGTGGAGACGGGGAGACAGAACCGCACATTGAACGGGCTCGAAAGGGCTCGAGCAGCGGGAAAGGTGCAGGGTCTCCTCGTCGGAAACGGCCCGGGGCGTCATGCCCTTCATCTTGCGAACCTCATCCAGCTTGGCGATGACCTCGGGATCCACCTGAGGTCTCCAGGTCTCTCGGCTTCGCGAGATTTCAAGGTGATTTCTCAGGAGGGCAGAAGGCTCTTTTCAGACGCTACCGGGCACTGGTGCCCCGGTGCCCTGGGAAGCACGCAGCTGTGCTGACCGTCCCGCGCCTCCTTGCTGCGGCCACGGTGGATGAAGACGCCACGGCCGTTGGCCTGGCGAGGATGTGGGTGGCGAGCCTTCACCTCCCCGCCCCAACATGCCCCAAACATGCCCCAAACATGCCCATCCGTCCCCTCGCTGCCTTGATCTTCGGGTCAGGCGTCTTCAGGCCAAATCGGCCCTGCTCACACAGCCAGTCCTTTTGTCAGAGGAAGCTGCGCGGCGGAGAAACTTCATCGACGCAGGAACGTATGAATGTTCCAGCCGACTCGTGCCCTGAACTTCGGAATGCCTTCCCGATGTGAACTCCTGTACGTACGTTCTCAAGGTTTCCCCGGTTACGTTCTCACGAAAAAGGCGGCGATGCAGGCTCCCAATGCAAGTCAAGACATTCCCAGTCCGTCAGCTCATAGGGGCCATAGTACGTCTTGGTCTGCTTCTTCATGTCGCCGGCCGCCTGGCTGTGCAGATGCGTAGGGACTGCAAGTCTGAAGAGCTCACGCGCACGTGCCGCGTCGCATTGCTGCGTCGTGTGTTCCTGCATGTAGCTTGCACGCGAGCACGACCAACATGAACGGATCGGCCGTCACTTCCGAGTGCTCGGCCCAAGCCACACAAGCCTGGCCTTGCGCTGCTTCCAGAAAAGCTCCAGGCCCACCAAATCGCCCAATGCCATGGGACCCATGGCCATGCCTCGAGAAATCTCCAATTTCCGGTGCTCCAAAGTACTCGAACTGACAACGCAGCAGAGCTGCTTTAACGTTTGTGACTGCATCCACGAGCTGCTACGCTGCTACATGCTGCCACGCTTCCAAACTTCCGAGCAGCGTTATCCACCTGCTCAATGTTGGCACCTCGCAATGTAGACTGCGTCATAGCAGCGACAAGAACTTGCAGACTTTTACCATCATATTGGTAAGCCCCTCCGCACCAACATCGCATTACGACTCAAGCATGCGCGACCCTGCCTTCCTCCAGAACCATCTTCGCCTCCCCGGCATATGGCGCAAGCATTCGGTTGCCCACGAAGCCATCGCAGTTGCCTACCATGATCGCTTTCTTGCTGATCAGTTTGCCCATGGCCTGGCAATCAGATGCCAGGCACACCGTCACACCCGGTGACACTCGTTTCAACAAAGGAATCTGCTATGCAGATCTAGACCTTGCAAGAAGGATGTGTGTGTGTGCCAAACAGCCAAGCTGCCATTCCGGTGGCCAACGTTTTGGTGCTGGACTTGGCCGTTCGGACGTTCTCCAGCAGCTGCATCACGTTGGCTGGGGAGAAGAAGTGGGTGCCCATGACACGGCTAGGGTCCTTCAGCACGGCCGCGATGTCATCAATGTTCAGGCCACTGGTGTTAGTGCAGATGAGGGCATCTGGCTTGGTGTTCTTCTCGATGTCGAGGAACACCTCCTTCTTGAGGTCCATGATTTCAGGGACTGCCTCAATGACCATGTCCACATCCTTGAAGTCAGCATAGTCTAATGTCGGCTTCAGGAGGCTCATGTACTGCTTGTACTTGTCCTGGCTCAAGCGGCCCCTTTTCGCCTGGCCACCCCAGAGACCCTCAATCTTCTTCATGCCATCCTCCAGCCACTCCTTCTTCGCATCCTTGAGGACCACTGGGATCCCTTTCTGCACGAAGCACATGGCGATGCCGCCTCCCATGAGTCCTGCACCTAGGATGCCGATCTTCTTCAGCGGTGCCGGCTTCTCGTTCACTCCAGGCACCTTCTGCGCCATTCGCTCGGCCAAGAAGAGGTGTCTCAAAGCAGCTGACTGCACAGAGAAGACCTGACTGCATTGGTCAACCAATGTTGGCTCTAGTGTGCTCTAGTGACTCTAGTGACATCACTGCCTAGCTGGGCCTAGCTAAACATTTCTTTCGTCGCTTCGTCTTCGAGTCCTGTTCGACCAAGCGTGCGGCCAAGGCACCAGCTTCGTGAACTCCTCCATCTCGACTGCCACGCCCTCCTTGAAACTCTTTCCTGAACAGGCGGCCTCGAAGCAGTTGATGATGCCAGCCGGTGCCACCATCAAAGGCTGTGCATTGAAGGCCATGTTCAGAGCTGCATGGAGGCCTGGAAAGATGAAGCAACGGCCAGAACGGCAACCGCAGAGTCCATCATGATCCATCATGCTTGCCCCTTGCACACCCCTTGTGCGCGCTTGCGTGCCTCCAGCCGCGACCATCAGGCGATTGGTCTTGGGCACATCGCGCTTGGAGATGGGCGCCGGCGGGTGCGACAGGGCGAACCCGGCGGCCTCCTCCACAACCTCGGCTGTGCACCCATGCTGCCGATGCTCTGGTGAACGAATGCGCGCAGCATGGCGCACTGCGGTGCAACGTGGTTTTCGGATGGTTCTGACAGGAACGGACATGTGCCGACGGCGGCCGCTTGGATCCTCATTTCATGCCGACAAACTGCATCCGTGCATCCTAGTGGCGCGGGATAAGGGGGCGGGCTGGCGGGCTGCTCACAGAAACTGCTGGTCAGCTTGGCTACGTAGTTCCACTTGCACATGGTCACTTGCAAGGTGCTTACTATAGCCATGGCGGGCAGCAGCTTCTGACTTGGAGCCTAATTCTAGCTTTTGCTCCGTCCCGCAGCGTTCACAAGACATGTTTAGGAAAAGCACGGCAAGTAGCGTCTCCCTTTGCAACCAAATCGATGATGCCGTTCTTCTTCGCAGCTTCGGCCTCAGAGCTCGCCCGTGCCACGGGTCATCTATCTCTCTTTCCTCTCTGTCCTCCTGCTGTCCGCTTGCGCTTCCGTGCGCTTCCTTGGGCTTCCTTGGGCTTCCTTGGGCTTCCTGGCCGAGTCGCGTTCATGGGCCGGCCCTGCAAGATCATTGGAAGCGCCACGGGGAGGGCGGCAACGCGAGGAAGCCGCTGCGTGCCCTGCGCGCCCGGGAGCAATCCCAGGTTCACCTGGCAGCAACACACGCACGAAGACACACGCACACCTGTGGCACGATGCAGCCTGATGCACAGCACACCGGAAACGAACTGGCCTCCGGGAAGCCGACCGAGGCTTTTGGCGTGGCCACCCTGTAGTGGCAGGCCAGGCTGACCTGCAAGAGTCACAGACTTCACAGACTTCACAGGCGCTTGGGATGTGCTTAAGCCCCTTGAAGCCCTCTCTTAGAAGTCTCGGTGCGCTCAGGACCCTGTGCAGGTCTCAAGCCTCGCAGCCACCACCCAAGGCGGGACCATTGAGAGCTGCTACCACCGTCTTGGGCGAGGCATCAATGGTGTCCTTTTCTGTTCGCTGTAGGAAAACCTAAATACTGGGCTCGCCTGGCCGAGCAAAACACCGAACAGGTACATCATGGTACATCCCACGAACTTACCGCGGGTCCATCATCTCGCTCAGTGCTGCCACAGGGTTGTTCTTCCTTCAGCAGAACTTCAGCACTCAAGAGGGTCACTCCAACATCTCCCTGGCTCAAAGCTCTCAGCACAAGGTCCTCATCTCTGCCTCGCCCATGGCAACCATGATGGCAAACCTGGTCGCTACAGGTTTACACCCAAAAGCTCGTGATGGGAGCCATGCCTGAGCTAGCAATGGTCAAACTCCATCCAGATTACGGCATGCCACGTGCTGTTCTCCCAACGCTTTGCATGGCGACCTCGCGCCTCTAGCTAAACTTATTCAGAAGGCCTCCGGCACCCACCCAAGACCTAGCTACCTGTTTCCCCCTCCCTGCTTGCAGCTTTCAGCAACTCCGTGATCTCAGCACCTGGGCTTTTGACCATGGTTTGGTCGGGTTCGCATCCAATCTAGTTCAGTCTGGTACACATGTCCCGATACATGGCAGGCCAAGCGTCCACCGGAGAACATCGAGCCGCTTCCCGTCACCACAATGGCTTTGACCTGCAGAATGCACACAGAGCAGCCTACAGAAGCCCAGAGCAGACTGATGGACACGCGCAGCGGTTTCATTCGGCTTGAAGAGGAAGAGGATTCACTTCGTAGTTTCGGCTTTGCCAAAGCCCAGCTGAGCCTTCGGATCTTGGACGAGTTTCGGGAACTCCTGCCTAAGCTGCCGAGAGGAGGAATCCGCATCAAGGAGAAATTCCCACATCATTGAGCTCGCAGACACTCGGCCGCCCAGTCGGAATCCCCCAACTCCACTGACCCAGCCAAAGCGCTTGAAGGATGTCACCAAGCTCGTGCCAAGTGAGTTCACCGGCGGGCTGTTCATGGTGATGACGCCAACCCCATCCTTGTCGTCCATACATCATGAGAGCACGTCATGTTAGTTAAAGGCAAGGCATGCACTGCAAATAGAGATTCCAAAACCCCCAATTCACTGCCGGGCTTGGCCGAGTGTCAGGACGGACGGTAATGGAGGCCGACATGGTGGGTCTCGCCAAGCTAGGACTGGAAGGAGCGCAAGTACGTTTTTGTTCTCTCGCTGGAGCCCAAGCCGCGGCGCGATTCACACCCTACTGGCGGACGATGTTGCGTAGGATCACATTTCTCGCCAGGACATTTGCCCGGCCACTGACCGGCCAAATGGTCCAGTGAGCAAAAGCCATATGTTGTAGTAACTTTACGTGGTATTCTGTGCTCTTTGTTCAGATTCTGATAGACAGATAACTAAACAGACAAACAGACTATTCAGCACTACACAGTTAAGGCATCGACTTCTGCTGCACGTCCAACCACTTCAAATCTGCGGACTCGATGAATCCATCACCTGTGGTCTGACTTGCTGGAACGGGGGGGGGAAGACGGGCGGATACCGTGCGAGCGAAAGCGTCTGGCACATGCTTGCATCTTGCATTGCGCACGGTGCGGGGGCGCAATGGCTTGCAGTGGCTTGTCTACAAAAGTCCACGGGGTCCTCTCCCTTCCCCTCTCTTCTCGCTGACTTGGCACGTCCCTCACCTCGTCATTCTCACCATCTTCGTCGGCGGAGGGCACTGGCAAGATGACAAATGCAGCCAAATCGCATCCACACGTTTAGTTCAAGGTTGGACCCAGCCAGCCTGAAGAGCCAAAGCAAGACCAGCTACTGCGGGCTGCCGCGTCTAGTGGCACCGATGTTTTCTGCAGATGGCATACAACATGAAGAGCTGCTCTGACTCTACTCGTGGAACTCTTTCAAAGGATCGCCTCGGGTGCTCAGGCTCGCATTATCAGAGTATACCTGGCCTTGTCAAGAAGCTTCCGTCGGCGTGTGCTCGCTGCGCATCGGGTGTTTCTGTGTTATGTGCCGGATTTGCGGAGCTCGGCACTTCTTGAAGTCGGACAGGGTCTCCAGGACTTGCTTCGGATCCCAAGTTTGCTTCTTACCTGTTGGGGTCAGACGCTCTTGCATGGGCACAGCCGGTGTCTGAATCTGAGGGCCAGGCGCTCTCTCATGGCACGCTGCCTGGCAGTGCGCTTGATCTTTGCTCGCCTGGGCCGGATCCAAGCACAAGCTTCTGTCACAGCGAGAGGCAGCTGGGTCCACTTGCCGACCACACAGACTGCGTGTTCTATCATATCTGGCATACTGAATGTAAAATATAGACATCGGCAGACATGCTTGGGTCACCTTCTTTCCAAGATTGCGTCTATTTATGCTGTTTATAGACCACATCTCAGCACCCGAACTGAGATTCGATGCAAATCTTCTGGGCGCAACATCTAACCTCATACTTCCCAGGTCTGTGCAGCACGGGAGTGCCTTTCAAAGCCAGCAAATTCACACTTGCAGACCATCTGACAGGTTGAACCATGTTCAATGTGTTCAGCATCTTTTGTTGCGGCGATGTACAAAACTGTTGCAAACACTACTCCTCCGGTTGTCGGTGCGCTTGTCGGAATAGGCTCCATCCTAGCAGAAACCAACCTCGACACCCCGACCACTCTGCATCATTGGATTGCCCAAACATACTCACACTTGGTGCCTTCGCAAGTGCCACCGACGCACTTGGACATATATGTTCCACTCTGGAACTGCCACAGAAACGAGGCGGGCTGTGTCAGCATCTGTGTCAGCGTCTGGCAGACCGTTTCTGACTGGACTGGACACGGTCTCCATACAAAACACGCACAGGGCATCTGTTTCTCGGTTCGCATTTCAACACAGTCGTTTGAACGGCTGCCAGGCGCTTGCACCTAATTACCTAAAGCAAAAGCGAGTTGCTGCAGCAGCTTCGGCACTAAATGAACCTGGCCGTTCCTGCTGCAGCTCCAAAACGTGACAAATCGCGCCACTCTTGCAGGCGCACCATACAAGGCTGCATTCAGCCAAGCTTGTCCCACAGGCTACCGGTTACCGGTCACTGGTTTCCAGCTTGCACAGCTTGCGAAGCTTCTCAAAGCTTCGCAAACGGGCCAGGGGCAGAACCCTTCTTGCGGAACTCGGCCAGGACCACATCAATCAGCGTCTGGCCAGGGAACACCTGAAGCTCAGAAGTTCACGCCAAGATGGAAAGAACTTATGTAAGAACTCTGCGAGCCACTCCTGTGGACCACTTTGCACTTTGCCGCTTTTTTGCGTGAGACCCTGGCCCAGCCTTGGTCCCTTCCTTGGCTGCGCATGCCTCCAAAAGCTTGGACGGCTCAAAGTAGTCGATCGGCAAGTAGTTGGAGTTCTTGGTGAAGCGCTCCTCAGTCCCCATCAGTCATTGCAAGGTACTGCTCTGATCCTGAGAAAGGGCCTTCATCTAGGCTTTCATAATGCCCCCCTAGGTCGCGTTTTCTTGGCCCACCGAGCACAGACGCGGGTGCATCGCGCGCACGCGCACACACACACACACACAATGAAACGCGGGGAGGACAACTAATTGGAAAAGGTGCTATCAAAGTCAATAACGCGCGGGAGCAGGTCGACAGCGACGGCAACAAAGCTCATCACGGTTTGCGGTGGTCATGGCGATCTTTCTGGCAGAAATCTCGCGCAAAAGTCTCCGGCTTTCGCCCACGAGAACTGGTTCAAAGGCTTGATCCACAAAAACTTGGGGCGGGGCTCTACCACCGATACCGGGGCTTATAACAGAAGCTGTACCGGAAAAGGAGCGGAGCTGTAACGGATTTGTCGCGGAGCTGTAACGGAGCCGCATCGAAGGACTGAAGAACGTCATCTGTATGTAACGTAGGGCGCACACTGTGTTAAACTTGACGCTGCAACAAAAGACCCAACATGACCCAAGGTGTCCATGCCTACACCCCAGCGACTTTCTGCGCTCCCCACCTTGGCCTGCTGGTTGTAGTACTTCACGCGCTCCAGGATCTTCTTGAAGCCAGCGTAGTTCTCGGCGTAGAACATGGGGCCACCCTGTCAAGACAGGACCATGCGTGCACACGTGTGCGCCCGAGCGCGCATGATTGCACAGCCGAAACTCGGCCTTGCGACAGGGTGTGAAGAACTCAGAAGAATCGGAGCGACGATGAGCGACATCAGCGGATGCATGCTGATGCAATTGCCTGCCTTGGCAGGGGGGAAGCCATATCCGTAGATGTAGGCCAGGTCGATGTCTGAGGACCGAGCCACGTATCCTTCCTGGCGGACGCGACTATCCACACCAGGCCCAGTGGCTGCAGAAACCGGAAAATGATGACCAACAAATCTCACTCCCAGCACGGGCCATGGCATATACTTCGGCACGTCCTCGAGGATCTTGAAGCCCTCATTGATCATCGAGAAGAAGAGCCTCTCGCAAATCTCCTCTCGTGCCGTAGCGATGGTGAGACATCAGGATGCCCAAAGCCCTAAGAAGTGGATAGGACCATAGGACCATAGGACCATAGGAACAGTGGAGACGGGGAGACAGAACCGCACATTGAACGGGCTCGAAAGGGCTCGAGCAGCGGGAAAGGTGCAGGGTCTCCTCGTCGGAAACGGCCCGGGGCGTCATGCCCTTCATCTTGCGAACCTCATCCAGCTTGGCGATGACCTCGGGATCCACCTGAGGTCTCCAGGTCTCTCGGCTTCGCGAGATTTCAAGGTGATTTCTCAGGAGGGCAGTAGGCTCTTTTCAGACGCTACCGGGCACTGGTGCCCCGGTGCCCTGGGAAGCACGCAGCTGTGCTGACCGTCCCGCGCCTCCTTGCTGCGGCCACGGTGGATGAAGACGCCACGGCCGTTGGCCTGGCGAGGATGTGGGTGGCGAGCCTTCACCTCCCCGCCCCAACATGCCCCAAACATGCCCCAAACATGCCCATCCGTCCCCTCGCTGCCTTGATCTTCGGGTCAGGCGTCTTCAGGCCAAATCGGCCCTGCTCACACAGCCAGTCCTTTTGTCAGAGGAAGCTGCGCGGCGGAGAAACTTCATCGACGCAGGAACGTATGAATGTTCCAGCCGACTCGTGCCCTGAACTTCGGAATGCCTTCCCGATGTGAACTCCTGTACGTACGTTCTCAAGGTTTCCCCGGTTACGTTCTCACGAAAAAGGCGGCGATGCAGGCTCCCAATGCAAGTCAAGCCATTCCCAGTCCGTCAGCTCATAGGGGCCATAGTACGTCTTGGTCTGCTTCTTCATGTCGCCGGCCGCCTGGCTGTGCAGATGCGTAGGGACTGCAAGTCTGAAGAGCTCACGCGCACATGCCGCGTCGCATTGCTGCGTCGTGTTCCTGCATGTAGCTTGCACGCGAGCACGCCCAACATGAACGGATCGGCCGTCACTTCCGAGTGCTCGGCCCAAGCCACACAGGCCTGGCCTTGCGCTGCTTCCAGAAAAGCTCTTGGCCCACCAAATCGCCCAATGCCATGGGACCCATGGCCATGCCTCGAGAAATCTCCAGATTCCGGCACTCCAAAGTACTCGAACAGACAACGCAGCAGAGCTGCTTTAAAGTTTGTGACTGCATCCACGCGCTGCTACATTGCTGCCACGCTTCCAAACTTTTGAGCAGCGTTATCCACCTGCTCAATGCTGGCACCTCGCAATGTAGACTGCGTCATAGCAGTGACAAGAACTTGCAGACTTTTACCATCACATTGGTGGGCCCCTCCGCGCCAACATCGCATTACAACTCAAGCATGAGCGACCCTGCCTTCCTCCAGAACCATCTTCGCCTCCCCGGCATATGGCGCAATCATTCGATTGCCCACGAAGCCATCGCAATTGCCTACCATGATGGCTTTCTTGCTGATCAGTTTGCCCATGGCCTGGCAATCAGATACCAGGCAGACACTGGTTAGAACAAATCTGCTATGCGGATCCCTTGCAAGAAGGAAGGATGTGTTTGGCACAGCCAAGCTGCCATTCCGGTGGCCAACGTTTTGGTGCTGGACTTAGCCGTTCGGATATTCTCCAGCAGCTGCATCACGTTGGCTGGGGAGAAGAAGTGGGTGCCCATGACACGGCTAGGGTCCTTCAGCACGGCCGCGATGTCATCAATGTTCAGGCCACTGGTGTTAGTGCAGATGAGGGCATCTGGCTTGGTGTTCTTCTCGATGTCGAGGAACACCTCCTTCTTGAGCTCCATGATTTCAGGGACTGCCTCAATGACCATGTCCACATCCTTGAAGTCAGCATAGTCTAACGTCGGCTTCAGGAGGCTCATGTACTGCTTGTACTTGTCCTGGCTCAAGCGGCCCCTTTTCGCCTGGCCACCCCAGAGACCCTCAATCTTCTTCATGCCATCCTCCAGCCACTCCTTCTTCGCATCCTTGAGGACCACTGGGATCCCTTTCTGCACGAAGCACATGGCGATGCCGCCTCCCATGAGTCCTGCACCTAGGATGCCGATCTTCTTCAGCGGTGCCGGCTTCTCGTTCACTCCAGGCACCTTCTGCGCCATTCGCTCGGCCAAGAAGAGGTGTCTCAAAGCAGCTGACTGCACAGAGAAGACCTGACTGCATTGGTCAACCAATGTTGGCTCTAGTGTGCTCTAGTGACTCTAGTGACATCACTGCCTAGCTGGGCCTAGCTAAACATTTCTTTCGTCGCTTCGTCTTCGAGTCCTGTTCGACCGTGTGGCCAAGGCACCAGCTTCGTGAACTCCTCCATCTCGACTGCCACGCCCTCCTTGAAACTCTTTCCTGAACAGGCGGCCTCGAAGCAGTTGATGATGCCAGCCGGTGCCACCATCAAAGGCTGTGCATTGAAGGCCATGTTCAGAGCTGCATGGAGGCCTGGAAAGATGAAGCAACGGCCAGAACGGCAACCGCAGAGTCCATCATGATCCATCATGCTTGCCCCTTGCACACCGCTTGTGCGCGCTTGCGTGCCTCCAGCCGCGACCATCAGGCGATTGGTCTTGGGCACATCGCGCTTGGAGATGGGCGCCGGCGGGTGCGACAGGGCGAACCCGGCGGCCTCCTCCACAACCTCGGCTGTGCACCCATGCTGCCGATGCTCTGATGAACGAATCGAAGCGCGCAGCATGGCGCACCGCGGTGCAACGTGGTTTTCGGATGGTTCTGACAGGAACGGACATGTGCCGACGGCGGCCGCCTGGATCCTCATTTCATGCTGACAAACTGCATCCTAGTGGCGTGGGATAAGGGGGCGGGCTGTTCACAGAAACTGCTGGTCAGCTTGGCTAGTTGCGTCTACGTGCAAATGGTCACTTGCAAGGTTCTTACTATAGTCATGGCAGGCAGCAGCTTATGACTTGGAGCCTACTTCTAGCTTTTGCTCCGTCCCGCATGCAGCGTTCACAAGACATGTTTAGGAAAAGCACGGCAAGTAGCGTCTCCCTTTGCAACCACATCGATGATGCCGTTCTTCTTCGCAGCTTCGGCCTCAGAGCAGAGCTCGCCCGTGCCACGGGTCATCTATCTCTCTTTCCTCTCTGTCCTCCTGCTGTCCGCTTGCGCTTCCGTGCGCTTCCTTGCGCTTCCTTGCGCTTCCTTGGGCTTCCTTGGGCTTCCTTGGGCTTCCTTGGGCTTCCTTGGGCTTCCTTGGGCTTCCTTGGGCTTCCTGGCCGAGTCACGTTCATGGGCCGGCCCTGCAAGATCATTGGAAGCGCCACGGGGAGGGCGGCAACGCGAGGAAGCCGCTGCGTGCCCTGCGCGCCCGGGAGCAATCCCAGGTTCACCTGGCAGCAACACACGCACGAAGACACACGCACACCTGTGGCACGATGCAGCCTGATGCACAGCACACCGGAAACGAACTGGCCTCCGGGAAGCCGACCGAGGCTTTTGGCGTGGCCACCCTGTAGTGGCAGGCCAGGCTGACCTGCAAGAGTCACAGACTTCACAGACTTCACAGGCGCTTGGGATGTGCTTAAGCCCCTTGAAGCCCTCTCTTAGAAGTCTCGGTGCGCTCAGGACCCTGTGCAGGTCTCAAGCCTCGCAGCCACCACCCAAGGCGGGACCATTGAGAGCTGCTACCACCGTCTTGGGCGAGGCATCAATGGTGTCCTTTTCTGTTCGCTGTAGGACAACCTAAATACTGGGCTTGCCTGGCCGAACAAAACACGAAACAGGTACATCCCACGAACTTACCGCGGGTCCATCATCTCGCTCAGTGCTGCCACAGGGTTGTTCTTCCTTCAGCAGAACTTCAGCACTCAAGAGGGTCACTCCAACATCTCCCTGGCTCAAAGCTCTCAGCACAAGGTCCTCATCTCTGCCTCGCCCATGGCAACCATCATGGCAAACCTGGTCGCAACAGCTTTACACCTAAAAGCTCGTGATGGGAGCCATGCCTGAGCTAGCAATGGTCAAACTCCATCCAGATTACGGCATGCCACGTGCTGTTCTCCCAACGCTTTGCATGGCGACCTCGCGCCTCTAGCTAAACTTATTCAGAAGGCCTCCGGCACCCACCCAAGACCTAGCTACCTGTTTCCCCCTCCCTGCTTGCAGCTTTCAGCAACTCCGTGATCTCAGCACCTGGGCTTTTGACCATGGTTTGGTCGGGTTCGCATCCAATCTAGTTCAGTCTGGTACACATGTCCCGATACATGGCAGGCCAAGCGTCCACCGGAGAACATCGAGCCGCTTCCCGTCACCACAATGGCTTTGACCTGCAGAATGCACACAGAGCAGCCTACAGAAGCCCAGAGCAGACTGATGGACAATGGACACATGCAGCGGTTTCATTCGGCTTGAAGAGAAAGAGGATTCACTTCGTAGTTTCGGCTTTGCCAAAGCCCAGCTGAGCCTTCGGATCTTGGACGAGTTTCGGGAACTCCTGCCTAAGCTGCCGAGAGGAGGAATCCGCATCCAGGAGAAACTCCCGGATCATTGAGCTCGCAGACACTCAGCCGCCCAGTCGGGATCCCCAACTCCACTAACCATCCCTACTGGTAAGGCAAAGCGCTTGAAGGATGTCACCAAGCTCGTGCCAAGTGAGTTCACCGGCGGGCTGTTCATGGTGATGACGCCAACTCCATCCTCATCTTCCATACATCATGAGAGCACGTCATGTTAAAGGCAAGGCATGCACTGCAAATAGAGATTCCAAAACCCCCAATTCACTGCCGGGTTTGGCCGAGTGTCAGGACGGACGGTAATGGAGGCCGACATGGTGGGTCTCGCCAAGCTAGGACTGAAGGAGCGCAAGTACGTTTTTGTTCTCTCGCTGGAGCCCAAGCCGCGGCGCGATTCACACCCTACTGGCGGACGATGTTGCGTAGGATCACATTTCTCGCCAGGACATTTGCCCGGCCACTGACCGGCCAAATGGTCCAGTGAGCAAAAGCCATATGTTGTAGTAACTTTATGTGGCAATATTCTGTGCTCTTTGTTCAGATTCTGATAGACAGATAACTAAACAGACAAACAGACTATTCAGCACTGCACAGTTGAGGCATCGACTTCTGCTGCACATCCAACCACTTCAAATCTGCGGACTCGATGAATCCATCACCTGCGGTCTATGTCTACTCACCTGCCGCCTCCCAAGCATTCGGGCACAAAGCGAGTCTGCACAGTCCTGCACAGTCAGCACGCCCTGTACAGCAACAGGGCTCATTGACGCACTTGGACATATATGTTCAACTCTGGAACTGCCACAGAAACGAGGCGGGCTGTGCCAGCATCTGTGTCAGCGTCTGGCGGACCGTTTCTGACTAAACACGATCACCATACAAAACACGCACAGGGCGTCTGTCCGCGGTGTGCATTTCAACACAGTCGTTTGAACGGCTGCCAGGCGCTTGCACCTACCAAAAGCAAAAGCGAGTTGCTGCGGCAGCTTCGGCACTAAATGAACCTGGCCGTTCCTGCTGCAGCTCCAAAACGTGACAAATCGCGCCACTCTTGCAGGCGCACCATACAAGGCTGCATTCAGCCAAGCTTGTCCCACAGGTTACCGGTTACCGGTCACTGGTTTCCAGCTTGCACAGCTTGCGAAGCTTCTCAAAGCTTCGCAAACGGGCCAGGGGCAGAACCCTTCTTGCGGAACTCGGCCAGGACCACATCAATCAGCGTCTGGCCAGGGAACACCTGAAGCTCAGAAGTTCACGCCAAGATGCAAAGAACTTATGTAAGAACTCTGTGAGCCACTACTGTGGACGACTTTTGCACTTTGCCGTTTTTTTTGCGTGAGACCCCCAGCCTTGGTCCCTTCCTTGGCTGCGCATGCCTCCAAAAGCTTGGACGGCTCAAAGTAGTCGATCGGCAGGTAGTTGGAGTTCTTGGTGAAGCGCTCCTCAGCCCCCATCAGTCATTGCAAGGTACTGCTCTGATCCTGAGAAAGGGCCTTCATCTAGGCGTTCATAATGCCCCCCTAGGTCGCGTTTTCTTGGCCCACCGAGCACACACGCGGGTGCATCGCGCGCACGCGCACACACACAATGAAACGCGGGGAGGACAACTAATTGGCCAGAGTCGACAGCGACGGCAACACAGCTCATCACGGTTTGCGGTGGTCATGGCGATCTTTCTGGCAGAAGTCTCCCGCAGAAGTCTCCCGCTTTCGCCCACGAGAACTGTTTCATTTGCTCGATCCACAAAAACACTACTGACTCCGCTTGTATGTCCGTCCGTGCCGGCTCGGCCGCAACATGCAGGTCAGACCGTGGATCATGTGGGTACACTGGCTTACGTTGGCGATGGCTACCCTAGCGGCTACACAGTCAGTCCGGTTTCCCATTCTGCATAGCTGCCAGATGTTGTCGTAGCGCCGAAAGAGTTTGATAGCATGTCACGTTGATGCAAAGTTGCATAGTGGGTGGGCAAACCATTGCCGCCTTTGAAGGCGTCATCGGACTGAAGAACGTACTCGACGTAATCTGTAATGTAGGGCGCACACTGTGTTAAACTTGACGCTGCAACAAAAGACCCAACATGACCCAAGGTGTCCATGCCTACACCCCAGCGACTTTCTGCGCTCCCCACCTTGGCCTGCTGGTTGTAGTACTGCACGCGCTCCAGGATCTTCTTGAAGCCAGCGTAGTTCTCGGCGTAGAACATGGGGCCACCCTGTCAAGACAGGACCATTCGTGCACACGTGTGCGCCCGACCGCGCATGATTGCACAGCCGAAACTCGACCTTCCGACAGGGTGTGAAGAACTGAGAGGAATCGGAGCGACGATGAGCGACATCAGCGGATGCATGCGGATGCAATTGCCTGCCTTGGCAGGGGGGAAGCCATATCCGTAGATGTAGGCCAGGTCGATGTCCGAGGACCGAGCCACGTATCCTTCCTGGCGGACGCGACTATCCACACCAGGCCCAGTGGCTGCAGAAACCGGAAGAATGATGACCAACAAATCTCACTCCCAGCACGGGCCCATGGCATATACTTCGGCACGTCCTCGAGGATCTTGAAGCCCTCATTGATCATCGAGAAGAAGAGCCTCTCGCAAATCTCCTCTCGTGCCGTAGCGATGGTGAGACCCAAAGCCCTAAGAAGTGGATAGGACCATAGGACCATAGGACCATAGGAACAGTGGAGACGGGGAGACAGAACCGCACATTGAACGGGCTCGAAAGGGCTCGAGCAGCGGGAAAGGTGCAGGGTCTCCTCGTCGGAAACGGCCCGGGGCGTCATGCCCTTCATCTTGCGAACCTCATCCAGCTTGGCGATGACCTCGGGATCCACCTGAGGTCTCCAGGTCTCTCGGCTTCGCGAGATTTCAAGGTGATTTCTCAGGAGGGCAGTAGGCTCTTTTCAGACGCTACCGGGCACTGGTGCCCCGGTGCCCTGGGAAGCACGCGGCTGTGCTGACCGTCACGCGCCTCCTTGCTGCGGCCACGGTGGATGAAGACGCCACGGCCGTTGGCCTGGCGAGGATGTGGGTGGCGAGCCTTCACCTCCCCGCCCCAACATGCCCCAAACATGCCCCAAACATGCCCATCCGTCCCCTCGCTGCCTTGATCTTCGGGTCAGGCGTCTTCAGGCCAAATCGGCCCTGCTCACACAGCCAGTCCTTTTGTCAGAGGAAGCTGCGGCGGAGAAACTTCATCGACGCAGGAACGTATGTTCTCAAGGTTTCCCGGGTTACGTTCTCACGAAAAAGGCGGCGATGCAGGCTCCCAATGCAAGTCAAGCCATTCCCAGTCCGTCAGCTCATAGGGGCCATAGTACGTCTTGGTCTGCTTCTTCATGTCGCCGGCCGCCTGGCTGTGCAGATGCGTAGGGACTGCAAGTCTGAAGAGCTCACGCGCACATGCCGCGTCGCATTGCTGCGTCGTGTTCCTGCATGTAGCTTGCACGCGAGCACGCCCAACATGAACGGATCGGCCGTCACTTCCGAGTGCTCGGCCCAAGCCACACAGGCCTGGCCTTGCGCTGCTTCCAGAAAAGCTCTTGGCCCACCAAATCGCCCAATGCCATGGGACCCATGGCCATGCCTCGAGAAATCTCCAGATTCCGGCACTCCAAAGTACTCGAACAGACAACGCAGCAGAGCTGCTTTAAAGTTTGTGACTGCATCCACGCGCTGCTACATTGCTGCCACGCTTCCAAACTTTTGAGCAGCGTTATCCACCTGCTCAATGCTGGCACCTCGCAATGTAGACTGCGTCATAGCAGTGACAAGAACTTGCAGACTTTTACCATCACATTGGTGGGCCCCTCCGCGCCAACATCGCATTACAACTCAAGCATGAGCGACCCTGCCTTCCTCCAGAACCATCTTCGCCTCCCCGGCATATGGCGCAATCATTCGATTGCCCACGAAGCCATCGCAATTGCCTACCATGATGGCTTTCTTGCTGATCAGTTTGCCCATGGCCTGGCAATCAGATACCAGGCACACTGTCACACCGTCATGTGCACAACGTCAAGGAACTGTTGCCGCACTGCCCGGTGACACTGGTTAGAACAAATCTGCTATGCGGATCCCTTGCAAGAAGGAAGGATGTGTTTGGCACAGCCAAGCTGCCATTCCGGTGGCCAACGTTTTGGTGCTGGACTTAGCCGTTCGGATATTCTCCAGCAGCTGCATCACGTTGGCTGGGGAGAAGAAGTGGGTGCCCATGACACGGCTAGGGTCCTTCAGCACGGCCGCGATGTCATCAATGTTCAGGCCACTGGTGTTAGTGCAGATGAGGGCATCTGGCTTGGTGTTCTTCTCGATGTCGAGGAACACCTCCTTCTTGAGGTCCATGATTTCAGGGACTGCCTCAATGACCATGTCCACATCCTTGAAGTCAGCATAGTCTAACGTCGGCTTCAGGAGGCTCATGTACTGCTTGTACTTGTCCTGGCTCAAGCGGCCCCTTTTCGCCTGGCCACCCCAGAGACCCTCAATCTTCTTCATGCCATCCTCCAGCCACTCCTTCTTCGCATCCTTGAGGACCACTGGGATCCCTTTCTGCACGAAGCACATGGCGATGCCGCCTCCCATGAGTCCTGCACCTAGGATGCCGATCTTCTTCAGCGGTGCCGGCTTCTCGTTCACTCCAGGCACCTTCTGCGCCATTCGCTCGGCCAAGAAGAGGTGTCTCAAAGCAGCTGACTGCACAGAGAAGACCTGACTGCATTGGTCAACCAATGTTGGCTCTAGTATGCTCTAGTGACTCTAGTGACATCACTGCCTAGCTGGGCCTAGCTAAACATTTCTTTCGTCGCTTCGTCTTCGAGTCCTGTTCGACCGTGTGGCCAAGGCACCAGCTTCGTGAACTCCTCCATCTCGACTGCCACGCCCTCCTTGAAACTCTTTCCTGAACAGGCGGCCTCGAAGCACTTGACGATGCCAGCCGGTGCCACCATCAAAGGCTGTGCATTGAAGGCCATGTTCAGAGCTGCATGGAGGCCTGGAAAGATGAAGCAACGGCCAGAACGGCAACCGCAGAGTCCATCATGATCCATCATGCTTGCCCCTTGCACACCCCTTGTGCGCGCTTGCGCGCCTCCAGCCGCGACCATGAGGCGATTGGTCTTGGGCACATCGCGCTTGGAGATGGGCGCCGGCGGGTGCGACAGGGCGAACCCGGCGGCCTCCTCCACAACCTCGGCTGTGCACCGATGCTGCCGATGCTCTGATGAACGAATCGAAGCGCGCAGCATGGCGCACTGCGGTGCAACGGGGTTTTCGGATGGTTCTGACAGGAACGGACATGTGCCGACGGCGGCCGCCTGGATCCTCATTTCATGCTGACAAACTGCATCTTAGTGGCGTGGGATAAGGGGGCGGGCTGTTCACAGAAACTGCTGGTCAGCTTGGCTAGTTGCGTCTACGTGCAAATGGTCACTTGCAAGGTTCTTACTATAGTCATGGCAGGCAGCAGCTTATGACTTGGAGCCTACTTCTAGCTTTTGCTCCGTCCCGCATGCAGCGTTCACAAGACATGTTTAGGAAAAGCACGGCAAGTAGCGTCTCCCTTTGCAACCACATCGATGATGCCGTTCTTCTTCGCAGCTTCGGCCTCAGAGCAGAGCTCGCCCGTGTTCACCACGGGTCATCTATCTCTCTTTCCTCTCTGTCCTCCTGCTGTCCGCTTGCGCTTCCGTGCGCTTCCTTGCGCTTCCTTGGGCTTCCTTGGGCTTCCTTGGGCTTCCTTGGGCTTCCTTGGGCTTCCTTGGGCTTCCTGGCCGAGTCACGTTCATGGGCCGGCCCTGCAAGATCATTGGAAGCGCCACGGGGAGGGCGGCAACGCGAGGAAGCCGCTGCGTGCCCTGCGCGCCCGGGAGCAATCCCAGGTTCACCTGGCAGCAACACACGCACGAAGACACACGCACACCTGTGGCACGATGCAGCCTGATGCACAGCACACCGGAAACGAACTGGCCTCCGGGAAGCCGACCGAGGCTTTTGGCGTGGCCACCCTGTAGTGGCAGGCCAGGCTGACCTGCAAGAGTCACAGACTTCACAGAGACTTCACAGGCGCTTGGGATGTGCTTAAGCCCCTTGAAGCCCTCTCTTAGAAGTCTCGGCGCGCTCAGGACCCTGTGCAGGTCTCAAGCCTCGCAGCCACCACCCAAGGCGGGACCATTGAGAGCTGCTACCACCGTCTTGGGCGAGGCATCAATGGTGTCCTTTTCTGTTCGCTGTAGGAAAACCTAAATACTGGGCTTGCCTGGCCGAACAAAACACGGAACAGGTACATCCCACGAACTTACCGCGGGTCCATCATCTCGCTCAGTGCTGCCACAGGGTTGTTCTTCCTTCAGCAGAACTTCAGCACTCAAGAGGGTCACTCCAACATCTCCCTGGCTCAAAGCTCTCAGCACAAGGTCCTCATCTCTGCCTCGCCCATGGCAACCATCATGGCAAACCTGGTCGCAACAGCTTTACACCTAAAAGCTCGTGATGGGAGCCATGCCTGAGCTAGCAATGGTCCAACTCCATCCAGATTACGGCATGCCACGTGCTGTTCTCCCAACGCTTTGCATGGCGACCTCGCGCCTCTAGCTAAACTTATTCAGAAGGCCTCCGGCACCCACCCAAGACCTAGCTACCTGTTTCCCCCTCCCTGCTTGCAGCTTTCAGCAACTCCGTGATCTCAGCACCTGGGCTTTTGACCATGGTTTGGTCGGGTTCGCATCCAATCTAGTTCAGTCTGGTACACATGTCCCGATACATGGCAGGCCAAGCGTCCACCGGAGAACATCGAGCCGCTTCCCGTCACCACAATGGCTTTGACCTGCAGAATGCACACAGAGCAGCCTACAGAAGCCCAGAGCAGACTGATGGACACATGCAGCGGTTTCATTCGGCTTGAAGAGAAAGAGGATTCACTTCGTAGTTTCGGCTTTGCCAAAGCCCAGCTGAGCCTTCGGATCTTGGACGAGTTTCGGGAACTCCTGCCTAAGCTGCCGAGAGGAGGAATCCGCATCGAGGAGAAAGTCCCGCATCATTGAGCTCGCAGACACTCGGCCGCCCAGCCGGAATCCCCCAACTCCACTGACCCATCCCTACTGGCAAGGCAAAGCGCTTGAAGGATGTCACCAAGCTCGTGCCAAGTGAGTTCACCGGCGGGCTGTTCATGGTGATGACGCCAACCCCATCCTTATCGTCCATACATCATGAGAGCACGTCATGTTAGTTAAAGGCAAGGCATGCACTGCGAATGGAGATTCCAAAACCCCCAATTCACTGCCGGGTTTGGCCGAGTGTCAGGACGGACGGTAATGGAGGCCGACATGGTGGGTCTCGCCAAGCTAGGACTGGAAGGAGCGCAAGCACGTTTTTGTTCTCTCGCTGGAGCCCAAGCCGCGGCGCGATTCACACCCTACTGGCGGACGATGTTGCGTAGGATCACATTTCTCGCCAGGACATTTGCCCGGCCACTGACCGGCCAAATGGTCCAGTGAGCAAAAGCCATATGTTGTAGTAACTTTACGTGGTATTCTGTGCTCTTTGTTCAGATTCTGATAGACAGATAACTAAACAGACAGACTATTCAGCACTACACAGTTAAGGCATCGACTTCTGCTGCACGTCCAACCACTTCAAATCTGCGGACTCGATGAATCCATCACCTGCGGTCTGACTTGCTGGAACGGGGGGGAAGCCCGGCGAAGGCTTGCATCTTGCATTGCGCACGGTGCGGCTTGTAGTAGTAGAAGTACCGACATTCTCCGACTTTGAATACACTGGGCGACTGGGGATGCATCGTGACCCGTGACCTCCGAGGTCGAACGCATCAAACAGGATGAGCTCGGAACCGCCTCACCCCGTGTCTGCGTGTACGGAGCCAAGGCTGATCCTTACAAGTCTAGTGCCACCATCTGCCTGTCCATCCAAATCGGATGAGACCCTCCTCGACATGCTTTGCATCTTCCGCTCCGCTGCACCATTCATCAGCTTCCTCAGCCCGCATCGGCCATCGCGGCACTCTTGAAACGACGAACAAAAATCTCCCCGAGATGCTCGCAGATGCACACATATGCACACCCTGACGAGGCACTGGATCATGTCAACTGATCCAGCAAACATCTCGGCACAGAAGTCCACAAAGGCAGCCTTTGATTGGAACGCAGCTGAAAATAGCTTCAAAACAAACAGGGAGCTGAAGGAAGCAGCTGAACTTGGGGCAACGTGCTTCTCGGCACAAGCGTGGGCATGTGTGGGCAGCAAGCATCCAACAAAAACTTGGGGGTGAGGGCCTGGGAAGAAAGCTAGTTAAGGTACCCCGACGGAAGAGCATTCACCAGGAACGAAGGCGTGCAGCCGAGCAGGCACACGCAAAGTCAGCAGGCCATGTCACTTTTTTACCGCGCGCCAAGGCTGGGCAGCGTGCAACAAAGGTCGGAATTCGGCTAGCATAAGGAGTCCAGAGGAACCGTACAGGGGGGAAGGGTTGAAAGAGGGGCGTTCCTGTAGACATAAATCCTAATCCAAAAGAACACGTTCTCGGGGAGTCCGTCTGGAGTTCCGAATGAGATGAAAGAGAGGCGCTCTTTTAGAGATAAAGTAGAACGCAAAAGAACGCGTTGACAGGGAGTTGCTTTGGAGCTCCGATGATCACTTCGGCATCGCCGCTTCAGCTAGTTCTCGCAAGCTTGGCGGCAACTGACCCCGAGTGTACGCAATAGCCGTCCACTTGGGACGACGGCCGCCATATGCGCAGCTTTGGAACGCAGTGAACTGAAAGAGGTGCGCGATTCGTGCAAACATGGAAGTGCGCCAGTAGAAGCTCTGCCTGGGGTTCTCCACCCCGATAACAAGGTCGCGAGAAGCAGCTTCAAGGACCAGGTCAGACACACAGTCGTAAAGCTGATTTGCCAAGGTGACCCGGAGGAGGGCCTGCCCACCCAGCTGCGGTAATCCGTTCGGAAACTTTTCCGAGCGGAGAGGAGGGGGTCCAGGAACACCTTTAACTTCCCTTGCCCGGCTGGCAGTCCCACACGGTGGAGCGAACCAAATGCCCACGCAGTTGGGCATGGCAAGCCAACGTCGAACCAACTCGACGCCTTCAGCAGTACACAAGTCGACCAGATGAACATGACAGGCGGCGCCGGGCAGGCGTTTATGGTCAACAGCGACGGCATCAAACCCAAGTTGCTTGAGGCAGGCTGAGAGCCTGGACATACCGGAAAAGACCTCAATAATGAACGGGGGCCTTGAAGACGTCTCACTGGCAGACGGAGCGGGCACTGGGGCAGGCTCCGGTGCGACGCTCATGACTTCCGGAACGGCGGACAGTGCTGGAAGGAAGTCTGGCGGCAGGGCAAAGCCAAGCTCAAGGAGGGCCTGGGGGACCTCAAGCTTGACTGAGGGCATATGAGGCAACGCATATGCTACCAGGACAACACGGCGGCCCTGCCATGGTTCAGTCATGTGCCAGTGATCTTTAGCAGGCAGCTCGAGACAGCCATCCTCGAAATTGAGCACACGACCCTGGACCGGAGAGCCGTGGACAGGCCGAATGTCTTGCCCGGGGCCTTCACACCAAACACCGCCCCCAGAGAAGCTGGAGAGCTTGAACACCAGATTGGGGGTCGGCCCATTGTGGGAATCACGATGAGGCTCAGTGGGGATGTCACAAAATATGGCCAGAGAAGTGAAAACCGCAGCCGGTCGTCGTTGCCGAACGAACGCACAGAGGACCTGCGTGACCTTTGGGAAACGAGAAACATTGGTCCGAAGGCCCAGCACACCCCCTCTCCGGAACATGCCAGTGAAAAACGAGCTGCCCGACGCAGCCTTGTGGGGAGCCTCGTGCGGAAGAAGCTCCCACAGGGAGAGCACAGATTGAGATCCAATGAGTTGGCCCTGCAAAAGTTGCTCAGCAAGTTCTTCAGGGTCATTGCAAGCAGCACACGAATTCAGCTGGGAGGTTGACTCGGGAGCGAGGGAAACTGGGGGCTCAACCTTGTGCACAGATTGACTGACCACAACGGGAGCCGCAGATCCAGTTTCTACAGGTGGCGGAACGGCTGTCAACACGGGCTCGTCCGAAGTTGAACCAGCAAGCCCCGCCTCCGGCACTGACTGTCACTCCTTGTGATCCCGGATAGGGTGCGGTTGGAAACACTTGCAACACAGGTGCTTGCGAGGGCACGTGGCTGCGGAACACTTGCACTTGTCCCCATGCAGATTATAATCGAAACATAAGGGTTCACCCGTGGGAGCATTGGCCACACCCCCTTTCTGGAGGATCTCTTTCGGGACGCGAGCGGTGAGGGAAAACTTGCCCTTGCCTTTGCCACCACCCTTTGGGCCACCCTTGACCCTTTTATCACCAGGCTCGAGCTTTCGCTTGAGCTCGCGGCGCTCCTTGTTTCCATTACCTTGCTTTTGTGGAAGCGGTATCAAGGCCATTGAGACATGGTAGCTTTCAAGCGCTGAGATTAACGCATCATCCATAGGGAAGCTTCCATCTGTGGCTGCGCGCGGTTGGACTCCCAGTTCAATCAGGCGAACAAACACTTGTCGATCGGCTTCCACCAACTGAGCAACAGAGCAACGCGCAAAACCCGGGGGAGGCTCCCTGTGAAGATTGCTGAACAGGCGGGAGATGTACTTCTCGTAGGCATTGAAGGAGAGGCACTGGGCAAACACATAGGCAATGCCCCTGCGGCGAAGAGCCTCTTGAACTTGCAGCGCGCTATGAGTTGGCATACTCATGGCATCATCTGTTTCTTTGATCACTAGTTTGGAACTTTCAAGTTCAAGCTGGCGGGAAGCACCCTTGGAGTGGGTGACTTCGTGCGTTCGCGACACACAACGATCGGGGCTGAGGTACTTCAACTGATTGGCAGATTCCTGTCTAACGCAGTCTTCCAAGACACATCTCCCAGGTTCCATGCCTCCTTCAATGAGCACACCCGGAAGACGACCCCTGAGTTGTTGCAAACGCCTTTCATGTTCCGCCTCCGGCATTTTCCTGGAGGCTCCTTCTGGATCGGAAACTTGCAGGCGCAAGTCAGCCAACACCAAGGTTTGTGCCTCGAAGACTAGGCGGCGTATGCAGGCCCTGCCAGCCGCATTGGCTCCAGGTGTGGTAGTAGTGCAGAAGGCATTGAAGGCTGACTCAGGAATGACCTGGCCCGGCTGGCCCACAGCATAAGCCAGGTGACCCAGGCTAGTGAACCCACCAACCCGAAGCTCTGCTAGCACAGCATCGGGGCATTTGATCTCGCGGGCGCGCTGGAGGAAGTGGGCCTCAGACTCAATCAAGGAAGACATGGCACAGGAAGCTACGCTGTCCAATCGAAGAAGAAATCACACTTGAACTCCGCCAAAGTGCAACACAGTAGAAGACGCTGTACAAACACCACACACGCTAAGTACCACAAGTAACATCTCCACTCTCTACTACTGCGAGCCTGGGGTTGAAACATCACATTCACAACGCAACACACACATGCTGCATGCGTGGCCCCTGGGCCCCTAATGCCTATAAAGCCCCTTGGCCAGGCATTGGCACCATGTGCCACAAGGCTCATAAGGGACCATGTCCTTGCCTTGAATCCAACACTCCGACATTTAGTCGGCAACAGCACTCACTGCAGTTCACATTTCCTCACATTAGCCCCTGGGCACACAAGTCGCTACCATGTAGCAAACTCTTTTCTTCACCACAGCGATCAGAAACGATCACAAACTTCCTCCAGCCACACCACATCACAGGTTGCGTTTACATGTGCGACACTCGGGATTCATAAGATCCTCCTCTGAAGGCAAGACATACATTGCCGTGCGCGGGCGCCCACACACAAGAATGTTGTCGCCATAGGCATGGTGAAGAACTCCAGATCTGGAGTGTTTTACCCATGTACCAGTGCCTTGCACAGGGTTCACACTGGGAACAGACGCTCGGGCGTCAACACGCTCAGGGTCCCGCGACGTTTGCGATTCACTCGACCCCGACGACTCACTCGAACTATCGGAGGACGATGACTCTTCTTCACCTGAGCTTTCAACCTTGATCGCAGGTGCCAAGGAGGCGGCAAAGTTTGCCTGAGTAGACAACACACTCTTGCCCTGCATCGGCCCGCCAGGGGGAGGCGGCTGAGGAGGGAACGCCCACATTTGCCCCCGGGCTGCATCAGGAGAAAACTCAAGCTGTCTGATGGCATCCAAGACTGTTTCCAGCTCCCGCACGGGCCCCATGCTTAGCTCAACAGAGTACACGGCTTCCGTTCCTTCAACAGCTGTGACATGCCTGCCCAAACAAGAGCGAACCTCCTTCTTGGACCCAGCCTTGCTGGCCCAAGAGATGCAAGTTCTCTTCAAGCTGTGCGAGGACACGGCATTATCACCAAGCGCGAGCCTCAAGTAGGTGGAAACTTCCCCCGACGTAATGGCCCTGCGAGCCAGCACGCCACTGGCTAGTGGTGGACGGAAGAGCGCAGCACCAACATGTCCTTGCAACAGAAGACCAACTTTCTCAAAGGCACACTTACATGATTCGAACCACTCATGGTCCGAGATTCCTCGCAACGGAATCAAGATTGGGAGCAGCTGAGCAACTCTTCTGGCTGCCCTGGCAGTTTTATGTTGCTTGACCCGGATCACCACGTAGCCATCACGACCTTCTCCATCCACGTCCACGTATGCCACTTTGCGGAAGTCAGATTGTCTAGCACGCGCATACAAGCACAAAAGGCAATATCCAGCAAAGGCCCGATCCCAATCTGAGGTACCTTGTCCATGCAACAGCGAATGAAGGATGCGGACTTGTGCCACGGTGAGTGGGGGAGCTTGCTTGAGGTCCCCAAGGTTGGCCAACATACGCTCAGCCGCACCAACACACTTGCGGCTTAGCTTGTTAGGAATGTTAGTAACATCCATCACGAAATAAGCAAAACGCAAGGCTGACAAGAAGGATGAGGCTTTGGATGGCGGGGCCTGCGAGCCATCTAGGAACTGCATGTACCTCCAGAACATGTCATCAGTAAAGGGGTCGAGGTTGGCACCAACAATTGTATCAAACCACCTCAGGAACGTGAGGATGCTACCCGCCCTCTTGGAGGCAGTTCCTGCGGCCCTCGACCCAACGCACGCCTCCAATGCCTGTGGATCAACCTCGCACTCCGGGTGCATCTTGCGGTTTCTACGCATGATTACAATCCACTTATCAACTGCAAGCCTCACCGCTTTACGGTGCTGGGCGTCAACGTCCACATCAGAGAGGACCTTGAAAACATTGGACGCAAGGTCACCAGACACGAACGGCTCCTGCGGTTCATCCAAGGAAGTGAATGGATCACACGGAGGCGATTGAGGGGTCCAGACTTCCGTCTCACGCATTGAAAGGGTTGGCATTTTAAGTTCAGAAAACACTGAGGACTCACCAAAGATTGCACTAACAGCAGGCAGCTCCCACGGCAAAACAACATCAGACATGCCCCCATCCGCCAAACGCACAAAGTTGTCGGCGAACACATCACCCACGGTGCGGGCCATTTTTGATGGAGGTTCGTCAACAGGAAGTTTCTCAGTCTCGGCCAACTGAGGGTCATCCCCGGAGGCGTCATGCTCTGCGGACTGACTCAACAGATCATCACGCACGCATGACCTGCATGAAGTATGCTCAGAGCTGAGCTCAGACATGTCAGGGTTGACTTCAACCATAAAGTCTTCCATCGCTGAGACAGGGGAGTTTTCATCTCCCCAATCTAGGGCCTCAGCTTCCGCGTCCGACGGCCTTGGCAACACGAACAACGGCCCAGAGGACTGCACTCTAGACCCAAAGGGGGGCAATTCCAGGTGAGCAATAGGAAGGACTGGCGGTCCATCATCTTCGCTGACATGGCCAACCGAAACATCATCCCCCTCTATATCCGGCAGACTGTCTGTAGACATGGCAGCAACACCAGTCAACCTTGCAGAGGAAGCAGTTGGCGGTAACACGACTGCACCCAATGGGCAGCAGCGCTGAACTGGTTCCAGTCAGACACCGTGAGGCAGAGAAGGAACCTGGCCCCTTCACTCCGACTAACGAGGAGGCCACGGAAGCTGGGTTCAACAATGTAGCTGAAAATATCAGGTGGCGCCTCAACACGGCGCTGAAGGTCAGGCACGTGATAGTGCAGGGGTCGAACGCGAACAGGCGCAAAGACAAAGGGCGGCACAGGCACACGGAAATCGTCGGATGACGACGTGGATACACTGGATGCCGAAAGGTCCATCCACCCCCCCGATCGCGGGGAAGCTTGCACGAAACTAAACTCTTAGCACCCAGTACAGAGCCACTAAACTAGAAGCGGCCTCGAGCCTCAAAAATTTTCGCACTGAGCTGTGGAGCCAGCGCTGCACACATAGATCTCCAGCAAACGAAGTTTGCAAATTGCCGTTCGCAATTCCAAGCATGACAAGCATCAGAAACTTTTGGGTTACAAACCAAGAACAAACGGCACACACCGTTTTTCGAAGAGACATTATGGAAGCAAACGGTAAAACACCATTCGCTCGCGAACAGTAAGCTAAACGGGTTAAAAGGGTTTAAAGGGTTCAGAAGGGTTTAGAAGAGTTTCGAAGGGGTTTAGAAAGGGTTTAAAATTGTGTTAAGGGCTTATAAGGGTCTAGAAGGTTGAGAAGGGTTTTAGATGATGTAACAGGGTTAAGCAGGATTTAGACGGGTTTTACATGGTGTTTAGAAGGGCTTACAAGGGTTGAGAAGGGCTTAAAGGGGTTTTAGAAGGGCTTTACAAGGTTTTAGAAGGGCTTTTAGGGCTTACAAGGGTTCAGACTGGTTTAAATGGGTTTAGAAGGGCTTCGGGGTTTTAAATCAGGCTTGGAAATCCAGTGCAAACAAAAATGCTTCGAAAGCGCGTTTGGAAAACAAATCTGTTTAAAACGAGCCGGGTTTGGGGTTTAGGGGTCCGGGGTTCAAATCGGGTTAAAAAACCCAGGACCAGCTGGACCTGGAATTCAAATCGGGTTTGGAAATTTGGGGTCTGGCTTCAAGCAACCCGAAATCAAAATCGAGCTTTGAAAACAAGACCTGTCCGGGAGGGCCCAAAAACACGAAAAAAACAAACTTGTTTCCAAGGGGCGTTTTGCAAACACATCTGTTTGCCGTGGGCCCCGGGTCTGGGAACGGCCAAAAAGGATCCCAAGTCCTTCAAATTGCTCATTGGGCGGGTTTTTCAGGCTCGGAATTCAAATCGGGTTTAGAAAATCTGGGGCTGAGGGGAGACCCGTGTGAAAGAGGAACAAACTCAAATCGGGTTAAGAAAAATCTTTGGGTCATTGGGCGGGTTCCTGGGGGGAGGGGGGGTCTTACCGCTGAATTGGCCGGGGCGCCGCTGCACTGGCGAACCCTAAACCCTAAACCCTAAACCCTAAACCCTAAACCCTAAACCCTAAACCCTAAACCCTAAACCCTAAACCCTAAACCCTAAACCCAAGACCGGGCAGACCACGGACGCGGAAATCAAGACCCTGATCCACCAAGCCAACGTGCGGCGCGAAGTGGTCGTGCAGCTCATCCTGGACATGAAGAAGCTGGGCCACCCGGCCTATCAGCAGATCGAGGAGGCCGCCGTCCGAGCGACGGCGGCCCAGCTTCCCGAAGACGCCGTGCCGGCGGAAGTGCTGAAGGTGGTCCGCACCCTCGGCGAAAAGGGAGAAGACGACGGCGACAAGCTCCAGCCGCAGAAGGCAGATGCAGGGCACGCGGGTGAGGTCTTCGCCCAACAGCGCCTCAGGGCCATCGTGGCGGAGGGCTGCAGCGAGGACCGGAACGCGGTGGCGATGGCGGCCCTGAACGACCTGGAGACCCAACTCCACCCCCAAGGCACCGAAAAGAAGATGGAGACCCTAGAGGTGCGCACGGGCAACCAGCTCATCGACCAGTTCCAGCCCCTCTACTTCGCCACGGCCTTCTGCTTCTGCTTCAAGCACGCCACCGCCTGCCCAGACGTGCAATTGAGGAGCAAAGAGCGGAACGGCGCGGCGGCGCGCCAAGACCGTGAGAAGAACCGGAGAGCCCGGAACCCCAAGGCCCCCGCTGTGGAGGTGCATGCGTGGGCCAGCGCCATGCAGCGCCGTGCCGAGACCCAGTTCCGACGGGACTGGACCTTCGGCTTCACGCCCTGGAACTACCTCTTCCGGACCATGGTCAACCTGCAGCAGAACAGCTTCATGTACACCGTGCCCAACGAGGACAGCAGCGGGCACCGCAGCCTGTCGAACCTGGAGATCATGAAAGGGTTGCAGGAGATCCAGAAGGCCCTCCACAACGGCAAGTACCTGGACGTCAACAACCAGCACAAGGCCGTGAAGGGAGACCTCTCCAAGGTCCGATACGTGCCGAGGCTATCGGCAGCAGCCAGAAAGGCCACCCGCCCGAACCCAAACGGTCAAACGACAACGATCAAAAGCAAAACTATATAGAACCCCCCCAAAAAAAAGCAAGCCAGCAACCCACCGACCCACGAGCGCAACCACGCGAGCGTGCGCAGGTGCTGGACAACTGCGAGGCCCGCTGCCTCAACATCCCGGGCACGCGCGAGGTGCGCAAGACCATGCGGCGCCAGACGCACGCCAACAGGATCTGCTACGGCACCTCGCTCTTCGTCACGTTCTCCCCTTCCGAAAGGGACAACACGCTCATGCTCCGACTGGCCCGAGCCCGACAGTCGGACCCGGCCCTCCAGAACGACGTAAGCGGCCGCAAGTTCCAGGGCCGCGCCAAGCCCGGGCTGGACGTGGAGTACCACGCGCTGGACCCGGAGGCGCTCCTGGCGGAGCTCCCGGCCTACGACGAGCGGCGCGCCATGCTGGCCAAGGACCCGCTGGCGTGCGCCGACGGCTTCCGCGTGCTCGTGCAGCTGGCCATGCGCCACCTCTTCGGCGTCCGCTGCTGCCCGCAGTGCCCGGACTGCGCCAGCTCGAAGAACCCCTGCGCCGACGCCTTCGGGAGCAACGCCATGGCCTGCGGGGGCATCTTCGGGCGCGTGGACGCGGTGTACGGGTCCATCGAGTGCCAGAAAAGCGGCGCCCTGCACGTGCACTTCCAGGCCGGACCGCGTTGCATCCCAAATGCACGAGCAAAAAACACATGCGAGCCAAACCGAACCATGAGGCATAGCCGGAAGCGCCAAGTTCAGTAGCACTCGTCTATATGGAAATTCGACATCAGCTGTGGCAGACATCAGCTTCGAGAGTTGCTCGTTGAAGTCTTGGCTCAGTGTGTAGGGGCCAAAGAAATTCCGAACAGGTTTTCAATGCTGGTCCAAGCAGCTGCTGCCCGTGAACCACGGTGAAGCCGCGGCAGCAGGCACACTGCATGTCTAGGGCTGTTCGGGACAACAACCCAAACCTGCATTACCCTCTGCCCACCTTCGACCTGCGCATGATGCGTACCACTTCGCAGCAGCATTCGAAACCGAAAGCCGAGCTGTCGCCTAAGAATTTGACCTGCCGGCAAAGCCGCACGAACTGGAACCTTGGTCGAAAACGATGGTCAGAGTTGTCTACAAAGCTGCATGTCAGCTGGTGTGGTCTGGGAATTCACGTCTATGTCTACTCACTCGCCTTCCGCCTCCGAGGCATTCGGGCACAATGCAAGTCTGCACAGTCAGCACGCCCTGTACAGCCACAGGGCTCATTGATGCAGCCATCGCCTTCAGCATCGAAGGCTTTGCGCCAAGCCCTCCTCAGAGACAGAAACTCAAAGAACATCAGCAAGGCAAGCTCGAACTACGCTGAAGTAGGACTGAATCCGCAGACTGACGGTCACGGGATGTTGGGACTGGTTCACTGGCCAATCCGCTCCTTTTTGGCTTCCAGGAGGACAACAAAACTTCTCGGGGCTGGCGAAAGGCTTACAGAGACAGCGGTGCTGTCTAACTTGTTGCCAGGCTGCAACACCGCTCCTTAGGGCAGATTGGCACAAGAGAAGAACCGAACAGCTTTGAACAAAAGGCACCGCGAAACGATAAAGACATCAACCCTAATTGCTCTGGTCTTCAAGTCTGCAAAACGAGGGGCCCTCGATTTTCGTCAGCGCTTTCCTCAACATTCGTGCCTGCCGGCGGCCTTCCGCCGCCTAGCGGCAAAGCCGAACACGGGGCGCAATGGCTTGCAGTGGCTTGTCTACAAAGTCGACGGGGTCCTCTCCCTTCCCCTCTCTTCTCGCTGACTTGGCACGTCCCTCACCTCGTCATTGCACTTGGTGGTGCCGCGCCGCCCGGTCCTCATAGTCATGACAAAGGAATGAAGGCGAGGCGGGGCACTTTGGTGTTGATGTGAACGGAAGTCCGACAGGTGCATGAAGTCTGAAACCACACGTAAGCCTCTGGCCCCGATCTTTGGCCATCGCGGAGCAGTTCTAGACAGTGAAGCCAGCGAGCCCCAACAGAACCACGCGGATACGACCATGCAAAAGGGTTGCAGCGATTTCGACGTCGAACACCAACTTTTTACAGATCCAGAAAAACTCGGAGCAAATCTCGCTGGCAATCCGCTGGACGTCTGCCTCGTACTATCTCGTACTCATACTTCCTAGGCTGGTCCGCCTTTGGCGCTCCAGTAGTCACACGCGGCCAATTCGTGCGACGGTAACCACCCGCGGCGGTTCGAGTACTACTATCCTACCCGGCAACGCGCTCTCACGACTGCGGGCCTTTTCGAACCCACAAACATGACCTCACTGCGGCATTCGAACCTCCTCCGGAGGTGCGCGCAACATGGCCGCGCGGAGGCTCGCGCGCGTGCCGACTCGCGTCCAACGGGCTCATTCTGCAGCTACAAACACGTCGCCCATGACGGCTCGAACCGCGGCTGCACAAAGTTGCAGCCCTATTCACAAACGGCCGAGAAGTCACCATGCTAGAGCCATCCGTCAGATTGGCAGCTGACGTGACTCGCCAGAAGTAAGGCATGATGCCCCGCTTTGGCGCTCACACCCAAAGAACGGCCCTTCACGTAGCCGTTCACGTAGCCTTGCTTCAGCGCGTGCTCAGCAACAGTGTTCTTGACGAAGCACTGTAAAAGTGTCGACCTTGTAGCGAAGTCCATTGGCGCAAGCCCACCACGAAAGAAACCCGTCTGGGTGCCACTATGTGGCTGTGTGCCGCTTCAGCTGCGAAGCCGGGTTCGGGGCCGACGGGCATCACACCACCGGGAATGCAATCGTATCTGGCACTACGTGGCCCTGCAGCAGCACCAAGTACAACGGGAAGTGGGCGACCCTAGACCCTGCGAGGAAACAGTCGACCCAACAACGAAGTGTGCCCGCAACGAATTCTTGCGCGCTACACACAACTTGCCTGACCTGCGATCTTGCCGAACACGACCTTGCGTGAACTAGCTCAGGCGTCGCGAAAACAGATGCGGGCGGCGGCATCCTCTAGGTAAGTCGGCGGACACGCCTTCTGCCGGCAACCCGGGCGTCCAGAATTGCCAAACAGTAACCACCACCTAGCTCAGTGACAGGAATACACCAAAAAACAAACATGTTGCTCGAGTACTATTTGTGACTGCGTGCAAGCAACTCTGCGGGATACTCTGTGGGATTCCCTGGAAATTTTGTGGGTGGGCACTCAACGGATACTCTGCTGTATTCTTTGGGAGTGGGTATGCGATTTTGTGGAAACTGGAAATGATTTGAGCAACAGGTGCGAGATTCTCTGCAGGATTCCCTTGAGGAGGCTCTGGGAGTGGGAGACCCGGGCTAGGAGACCTGAGAATAGCAGAGATCACAACCCAACATCGAGGGCGCATATCAACAAAAGGCCCCCTTAAAGCAAGTCGCAGCCAGAAGCCTTGCACCTGAGAACTTTGCCAAACCGCAAAGGCCTGCACCTTTTTCATCTCTTCCTCCTCTTCTTGTGTCCCCGATCCGACTCAGGACGATGGCCACTCGCTGACGAGCTGTACGAATCCTCCATCACACGCGTCGGTGCTTGAGCAGGGGTCTCTCAAGTAAATACTTACAATTGCGGTAGCGGTTCTACATCTGACGCTTTTCGAGAGATCTCCGCGGCTGCTGCGCCTCGTAGGACTCATAAGACCTCAACTATTTCGAGTGGGAAAGCCAATAAAAGCAAGCATGGGCGAACCATGGCAAACCCAAGTCTTTGAAAAGTCTGAACACCGCAACTTCCTTAGAGTCCCTTGAGCCTTCAGCTTCCTGGATTTTGCAGAATGGTCAGGTACTATGGTTAGTCTCCACCCGTCTATGTTCAACATCAGATGAGGAGCTCATAAGTGGAGTATTCCACCTTGTCAGAGGAAGTTGTGCCGCCTGTGAGCGCCGCCCGCTTGCCTCGAGGCCCACGCGGCCCACACTGAAAACTAAAATACCCACTAGAAGAAAACACCACACACGGCCACCCAAACACCTTCCTCAACGACCATCTTCAAAACAATCACTTTTGCCTCCTGGATAAAAAGGATGATACCCGACCCACACACCCACAGCTCCAGCTCAAAGCTTGGCGTCATTTTTGCCTCCTGCAAACCCGCACGTACCCAAGCATGGTTGCATCCACCCCAACCGCATGCCAAGCCAGCACATCCATACCCGAAGCATGTTACGCGTCCATGCCCAATGATTACGTTCCTGCGACCACATCTGCGAAGCTGGAAAGCCCCATCCCTCAAACATTCTGACACTGGAAGTCTGAACTGTTGCTCCTTACCCCCTTGTACGCCTGGAACAAGACCCTGTGTTTTTGCAGGTTTCTATGAAACTCAAGCAAAGCACGCTTCTTGATCCTCACGAACCACTGGCACGCGTGTGATGCTGAAGCAACCCGAAAATAGCTGACTAGACTCTAGGCCCAACCTGTGGTCGGCCGGCTCCGGCAAATTTTGATCACTGGGTCAGTAGCAACAAATGCAATTCATTCTCAAGGCCCTCTTAGACGTTGCAGGTCATGGCATAAGTCGCCTTTCACGATCTAAAGGGACGCCTCTGTATGTCCAACTGAGGAACTTAGTGCCCCCGCCAATGTGATGATAAGGGAAACAACGCAGACCAGGCAAGGGAAGCTGGACAGGACTCATATGTCCGAAGCAGCGTATGTTACGTATGTTGCTTCACAATCATTTCCGGGCATGGCATAAGAAAGTGGCCAAGTGCTGTCCGGAACTTGCTGTCCGGAGCGTGACTATGTACCAAAGGTCATGAAAGTGGATGCACAGAAACTTGGATGACAGGAGTCTATTCCATGCCGACTCACACTGAGCTAGTGACAGCTAGTGAAGCAGCCTCAGTGAAGGCAAGGCACGCTTCTGCCGCGGAGCCAGCCAGTCGAATTGCCAGTCGAAGTCCAACTAGCAGCAACGTTGGATTCGGCAAACTGTTGGCTTTTAGCAGCAGAAGAACAAGTTGAGCTTCCGTCGCCAGCACAAGCTCTTCCCTTCCACTCTCTGTGCGGTTGCTAGGTGGGCCTGGCTTCGAGCGGCTGCCTGCCGGAAAAGGCCACGGAGGTGATTGTAGTCAGGCTTGTCCTTGAAGCCTGCCCACATGCCAAGCCAGCGGACACGCACTTGCGCAAGTTGCAATCAAGCGCAGCAGCTGTGGAGCGTGGAGCAGCACAAAACGAGTGAAGCAGCCAACAGCATGCCAACGGGACTGCCTAATGAATCGCAGTACTCCAGGTACTGCACGAATTCTTTGGGAAAGCCTCTGCATGGCTTGCCATCTAAATCCAGCACCGTGCAAATAGGCATCCAACTGGATCAGCTTGGCCAGTACAACTGTTGAAGCTGCAGCCAGAGCCTTTGCACAAGTCCTGGTGGGATGTTTTTGCTTTGCGCTTGCCGATGCGCTTTTTGCGCTTCTTCCTCAGCAGAATAGAACCATCAGCTCTACCTCCATGATACGACACGTTGCAGCCAGGAAGCTTGTCGCGATGGTTTATTCCTGTCGCGCCACTCACAGACTTTGCCACTTGCAAATCGGGACAGTCTGCGTCCTTGCCATGGAAGCTGCCCACGCAGAAAGTAAAGCAGCACATAGCCGATGGAGCCCAAGTCATCCCTGCTGTGGCAAACCGTGCGTGATGTGTACATCTCTGGGAGTCGTGATGGGCCGCAGTTGTTGCTAAAAGCCCTGACAACTGTTTCAAAACTTGAAGTCGCTCAGCGGACTTAGCAGACT